TGCCATATATTGGTGTCTACATAACTACATTATGTCATATCTTGGTGTCAAGATAACTACATTATGCCATATATTCATGTCTACATAACTACATTATACCATATCTTGGTGTCTACATAACTACATTATACATTTCTTGGTGTCCAGAAAACCACATCATGCCATATATTGGTGTCTACATAACTACAATATGCCATATCGTGGTGTCCAGATAACTATATTATGCCATATCTTTTTTTGTCCAGAAAACCACATTATGCCATATCTCGGTGTCTACATAACTATATAATGCAATATCTTGGTGTCTAGATAATTACATTATGCCATATATTGGTGTCTACATAACTACATTATGTTGTATCGCGGTGTCAAGATAACTACATTATGCCATATCTTGGTGTCCAGATAATTTCTTTATGCCATATATTGGCGTCTACATAACTACATTATACATATCTTGGTGTCTACATAACTACATTATGCCATATCTTGGTGTCTACATAACTACATTATGCCATATATTGATGTCTAGATAACTACATTATGCCATATATTGGTGTCTAGATAATTACATTATGCTATATTTTGGTGTCTACATAACTACATTATGCCATATCTTGGTGTCCAGATAATTTCTTTATGCCATATATTTGTGACTAGATAACTGCTGTCCATGAAGAATTATATTCACAAAATTATAGAACAATCTTCAATAATCTTCAAAAAAAAAAAAAAACTGCACAAACATTTAAATCATTAAACTCCTTATAGACTTCCACTTTTGGGTAGGGTTAATTCTATTGTGAAAGATATTTTGGGCTCTACCAGTAATATGATATTAGAATTTGGATGGAATCCATCACAAGAATTTATCACAAGAGAATCCATCATATGAGGTTCAATATTTCTGTTGGAGAACTGGAAAACTTTGAATTAATTTTAGAATTTGGGAGTGAACACTGCGAGTTGTGCAGAGAATTAGATTTTAGTTAGAGGCCTGATTTCTAAAAGTTATGCCATTCTATGGTCCAAGGATTTGAAAAATAGAGTGCCTTTTCAGTTTCTATGGGAGGGTAACCTGGGTGAACCCCTCGGGAATTACTTTTGGAAAAAATAATTTGAGAATACTCTTAAATGATCAATCTGCATGAATACAAATGAGATATATATATATAATAAAATTGATATAGAGGGATTTCTAGTTAGTAATTAGCTAAACTGTCCCAGGTCTTTCTCCTCTTTGTTATATAGGCTGCAGTTGTATTGGGACATACCTTCACATGTGGTGGATGTGTGCCAAGATTGTGGAATTCTAGGACAAGGTATTTCAACTTTTGAGCTAGATTGTAGGCTTGAATATAATCTGAACTCTAAACTGTTAATATTGAATGGTTCCCACTCAGGCTTGAACCTACAAGATCTAGTCTGAGATTGTGCCAGAAGATTTGCACAGCTTCACGTTTATGTTTGACATGGAGCTGGAAGAGATTGGGGCCAAACTATGACATGGTTATGAAAAAAATAATTACATATATAATATGTAAGAAATTACACCAAGGGTGTTGGATCGAGTGGCCTCTCATGATAGGATGTGGTCTACTTGGAGGCCAAGTATACTGGACTCCAATACAGTAATTTAAGGTGGGGGGTTATTATGCAACCTTTTCCATCTGTCTGATGATAGGCATATTCCTTTATGCATCCCCACACCTTTCCTGCTCACTCACTCCCCCCTTTTTGGGGTGGTTATGACCCATTAACCACAGCATATCTTTGATTCAGTTTTTTAACATTTGAATTGGATTTAATTATACTTTTACTGTAGAATGTTTGTTTAAAGTTTAATGTGCTTCATTCTTACTCATTTAATGTTTATATGAACATGTGTATATATATTTATGTGACTAGCCATTAAATGTTATATTGAAAGGATATCCTCTTTACGATAAAAATAAAAAAATAATAAAAATCACCAATATCTTGTCTTTTTACCTTTTTTCATTACACTTTGTTTGCTTTTACATTTTAATTAAAGATTTAGCAAATTACATCACAATCCAGTTCAGACAAGGCAAAGCCAGCCAGAAACATTACAAATGAAGAGGATAAATAGAACCATTGTTTAATTTCCCCACGTCTCTGTATGCTCGCTCTATGCTGACTGACAGGTGCAAAGGGCGGAGCCTATAACAATGATTGACAGGTAGCTAACAGAGGAACCCAGTTGCAGTGTTGATTTCTAAATTTTATTTTATTTTTACACTTCACTAATACAAATTTGTTAGCGATTGGGATCGGTAAATATAATATTTAAAACAACTTGATACATATGCTCCTTAATGAACGGTGGCAGTATGAAAGACATCATTAATATCTTTTACTGACCCATCTGTGATAGTTTATGAACTGTTATATTCAGCACTCCATCGATGTTTTGCTTCTCACATCTATGGTTATGTAAAATTATTAAATTCATTAAAATTCTGGATGTAATTCTGAATAATTCTGAATAGTATTTTGAAGATAAAAAATTAAATGTTTTGTTTTATTGCAGGATTTTTCAGATATGATATTGTCTGGTTGTGTGGTACAACGTTTTTTATTGCCTTGGTTTTTAACGAAATTTTTGTTAAGGATACATAGCACAAAAACGTATCTAAGTTACATCACTAAACAAGTACATCGGTTGTTACAGGAACAAATCCATATGCAACTGTGATGCAACCGGTAAAGAAAGAGTATTTGTGTATTTATTTATAAAATATTGTACCACAAAGGAGAAATTGAGATTTCTTTTGTTTTCAAGTAAGTCCTGGGCCCACTAACACTGCATCGTTACAATAAGGTGCAATATAATATTAAAAATACAAAATAATATGAATACACAACATAAAAAAATTATTACAGAAAAGGCAATAAATATAATTAACCATGATTACAGTTGCATCCTGTTTTGAGGTATGTAGAGAGGGATCTGTTTGGGGAAGATTTGAAAGTGCGTATTTGAGAGGTCGTTCCACAATTGCAGTGCTCTGTAGGAAAATAAGGATCAAGCCGCTTTCTTTTTGTATTGAGGTAGACTAAATAAAGTGCTGGTACTGGATCGGAGGTTATAGGAGGTGGGAACAGCCGGGGAGAGCATTCTACTCAGGTAGGATGGGAGCCTCCCAGAAATGCTCTTAAACACAAGGCTGGAAAGATGAAGGGTGCGTCTGGATTCCAGCGACAACAAGTTTAGTTATTTTAGCATTTCACAGTGGTGGGTCCTGTAATTACATTGTAGCACAAATCGGCAGAACGAGTTATACAATGTATTAAGCTTATTAAGGTGGGTTTGCAGTGCAGGTACATATACTACATCCCCATAATCAATGACCAGCATTAGCATTTGTTGTACAATCCGTTTCTTTACTGTGTGACTTAGGCAGTATTTGTTTCTGTACAGGCACCTAGTTTTAGACATAGTTTTGATGAGAGTTTTTCTATGTGGAGTCCGAAAGATAGAATGGGAACTAACAACATATCTAAGTATTTGAAAGAGTGGACTGCGGTCAGTGTACTATTTGATTTTGTTTTGATGGATAGGTGGGAATTGTGTAATTTAGGTATTGTTCCAAAGATCATTGTGACAGTTTTGAGTTTTGTCAGTGTTTAGGAAAAGTTTGTTTTTTGAGATCCACTTATCTACCTCTGTGACCTGGTCTTGACCTTAAGCTGTGATAGATTTGGTTTGCTACTATGTGCAAACATGTGTACAGTTGAGTCTTTGCAGACATTAGGTCAATCATTTACGGATAATGTGATTAGTAGGGGGCCAAGTATGGCTCTACAAATGAGCAGGATTTGCTTTGACAAGGCTTGTCCAATGACTTAAATAGTACATCCACAGTGACATACCTCATTGGTGCTATGCTGGCTTAATGGAGACTTTAATGATGCTTTTGCTTCACAGCAAACTCCATATTTTCTTGACTTGGAGATTTGTTTTGGGCAGACTTGTGTTTCTTCCAAATTTAGGCTGATTGACTATTCAGATGGAAAAACTGTGTCCGACTGGCCGATTGACCTAATCCTGAAGAAACCAAAATGGCCAGAGACCGAGCATTCGGAGCCAGCAGACAAATAGTTTAATCATATGGCAGTTGGCCAGGGCTTGCTGGCCATCCACCACATTAATAAATGTAATAAAAAGAAAAAATTCCTATGGGGTCAATGTGATCCCATATTTAGAAGACACAACCCAACCTTCCACGCTGCAGTTTGGGGTATGTCATTAAATACAGTTAGTGCTGCCCAGTCTGTAAAAAAAAAAAACATGGAAGGGACTCCGTGTCCCCACACATGGCCAACAGTTGTGGCTATTAAATACAAACAAAGGGGGGACATCTTAAGAAAAAATGAGACAATTATTTAATCAAATTGGGATGGGTAGCTGCCCAGTCACTAGTTTGAATTAAAGTTACCGGCTGCTAACTGTTTAGTGCACATGCCCCCTTCCAGTGTTTTGACTCTCTTATACCATATAGTTACATAGTTACATAGCTGAAAAGAGACTTGTGTCCATCAAGTTCAGCCTCACATATGTTTTTGCTGTTGATCCAATAGAAGGCAAAAAACCCAGTCTGAAGCGCTTTCAATTTTGCAACAAACTAGGGAAAACAATCTCCTTGGATCAAGCAGCTATTACCCCACTAATTAGAAATGTTATCCCTGCATGTTTTTTCCCCCCATTCTATGATACATTTATGTTGCAATACAGGTATATGAGTCGATTCAGTATTTTATGCATAGCCAGCTAGCTGATATATTTTCACTATCCTGTGCCTGCTACTCTGAGAAAAAAGAGGTCAAAGTCCAGCTTCCCTCTTGTCACAAGGATGTCGAAACTGAAGTCACACACAGAAAGTAATTTAACCACACTTTGAAGCGTGTTCCGTGTCATGACAGATTCTTCAAACTGAGAATCAAAGACATTTCAAACCATTGATTATGTACAAAACATGACAAGTTTCTCTGCTCGTAAGGGTAAGGAAAATCATGCTTGATATTATATAGGAAACAGGCAGGTTGTCTGACAGTACAACAATGTATATTTTAGAAGGGTTTATAGTTTATAGAAGAGTTCACTAAGCCAGAAAGGCTTGGAAAAAAAAAACACAGAGGGAAGGTAGCAGGTAGAGAACTAATAAGAGGAGATTTCTGTGCTATGCGGCAATTCGTATCTACTGTCAGGTTGTATAAATCGCAAGCTCGGTGCCCTCGTTTCAGCTTGAATTGTTTTAACATACTTTATGCTACAAAAACACAAATTAATTCAATTGTTTTCCGGACACAATGTAACAGTATTTTTCTTGGCATTACAAGTGCAGATATATTATTGGCATACGTAAAAAAAAATATTTAAATAATTTTGAGATGTTTGTAACAAAAACACAAGAAAGCATTGCATCCCAATTTGCGAGCCAAAATGTCCTGGTTTCTAAATACACTATAGGACAGGGGTCGGCAACCTATGGCACACGTGCAATCAACCACATACAGATACTTAACATCACAGACAGCCCACACACACACATTCATAGCACAGACAGTCCACACACACACATAACATCACAGGCAGTCCATACCACAAACTACAGATGTGCATGGAGAGAATTTCCGGCTCTTTTTGTAGTTACATTTTTTTTTCTGCTTCAATATCTGTATCAGATACCTTTGAGAAAGACAGCAAGTGGGGTGCTGAAACATTGGGGGGAGTTTTTGACTCATGCTCTGTACTGTTTGGGTTCTGTAAGAGATGGTGATCTCTATATGTTAAGTATATAAGCTTTGATGCATTGTACCTGGTTATGTATTTTCTGTTAGTTTGTATTTATTTTCATTGAGTTATAATAAAGTGTTATATTTTTTTGGTTATTTTTGGAGTGTGCATCCTTAATTATTTTCTATTTTGAGTTTCCCAGGCATTTTTGGGGAGTGCCTATTTTTTTATTTGAACCTTGTTTATGATTCTATTATTTAAAGTGATAGATGGTACACCCTCCGTGCTAGATTAGAATTGATATTGGTATTTAGTGAATAAACCCTGTGTATTTGTATATATTGTGTATGATGCAGACAGGGATGTGACTCAGACAGGCTGCTCTCGGGTCCATTGAGTGAGCACTCAGAAGGGCAGTCCAATCTCCCCCATCTGATGTCATATCCTGTGATGTCATACATAAATGATTATAGATGCAAATTAGGTTGCAACCCTAGCCCCTTGCCACCTCACATCCCAATTACAGATTCAACCTACCTGAATAAACATGAGGGTGGCCAATAAAACTACCTGTAAAGAGAAATAATCCTACTTACCGTGAGATTTTTTCTATCTTCAAAATCTTCTAAATAGCCAGGTGATGGCATTGTGGGAACTATGGTACATTATGTACATCAGGCCCCACCATCACTTTACTTTATTATTTAAAATATATATATATATATATATATCAGCCCACTGTGGGGGCATAGAAGGTGGATTGTGGGGGGATGTTACTAGCGACTGGGCCATATTAGTGGCTAAATAGAGAGTGGCCAATGGCTGCTTGCTGTAATTAACAGATGAATTTGGTTTGGATTCTGTCATTCTGTCAGTGGTGACGTTGTATTCTCTTTCTAACTAAATGACCGAATATCAACATTTTCAGTAATTTTGTAATTTTTAAGAACATGAATGTATGTCTATGGCAAACAGTCTTTATACCTTCACATAACACCACAGACCTTCCCATACATATAAATACCCCAAACAGCCCACACACATACGTAACAAAGCAGACAGTCCAGAACCACACACACACACACACACTATACAACAAGCATCCCACACACACAAGCCAACCATATGCATGCATGCAATGCCTCCCCTTTCACACATAATACCACCATGTACTCTCATTTATACACACATAAAACCTCACCACAGACATCCCATACACAGACATAACACGCACACAATACCTAAATCACACACATAGACAACACCATGTACAATCCACATATACATGCACAAAGCAGCCACAGCCATATATTATTATTATTTATTAAGCGCCAACAAATTCCGCAGCGCTGTGCACATTCAGTATACACTGATACACACCTTGTTCTATAAAACCGAAAGGCAAAAATAAGCATTACTCTGTGCAGATGTACATAACATGGTAGTAGGATATATGGGTTAGGATAAAAATATCACAATGGCTGCCTTTACACAGTCTAAATATGAGCCCGCTGATGTTTTTTTTATGGATTCTGTATGTTCATAATGATATGAACAAAAGTAATGATTCAGTCCTTTCTAAAAAAAAACAAATATTGCATTTTGCTGTATTTTTACATAACTTTAATCCTCTTGTCCTTGCCATCAGAGAGAATAAAGCTACGTTTGCAATTAATCCCTCACTAGCAAGACACACACAAAGATAAACTGAGAGATAATCATGTGATTAAAATATATTGATCAATTCACAAGCGTACTCAGTGCTGATATAGCCCACAGATTAAAGGGACACTATAGGGTCAGGAACACAAACATGTATTCCTGACCCTATTGTGTTAAAACCACCATCTACCCCCCCTCTCCCCCCACCCCCGGCCCCTCCTTACCTCCCTAAATATTGTAAAATCTTACTTGCATTCAAGTCTGCAGCTGCCTGCTGACATCAGCAGAAGTGGTGGTCTGGGCCAATCACAATGCTTCAACATGGGATTGGCTGAAACTGTCAAGGAGGCAGATCAGGGGCAGAGCCAGCAAAAGTCAAACCCTTCCTGGCCAATCAGCATCACCTCATAGAAATGCATCTCTATGAGAAAAGTTCAGTGTCTGCATGCAGAGGGTGGATACACTAAATAGCAGTGCTGCACACTAGGCAGGACTGCCCCAAGAAACACCTCTAGTAGCCATCTGAGGAGTGGCCAGTGAAGTTATCACTAAGCTGTAATGTAAACACTGCATTTTCTCTGAAAAGACAGTGTTTACTGCAAAAAGGCTGAAGGGAATGATTGTACTCACCGGAACAAATACAATAAGCTGTAGTTGTTCTGGTGACTATAGTGTCCCTTTAACATCCTATAGTAAGTACTTTCAGCCCGAATACAGACTTACTATAACGTTTTTGCCAGGATAGGTTTGCATTCTCATATTGAGCTCATTACTATTATTAAACGTATTGATGTTATTTCATATAATCACAGATTTCAAAGCAAAATGCCACACTTCTACAAAGTAGCACATTTCTAATTTACTTATTTACTGAATTTTTATTGAGATACAATGTAATACAAAATGTCAAGTGACTGACATGATCATATAAGTGTATCTCATTATTAAATCTAGGACAAATTGTCATCAAGAAAATGAAACTTAGAAAAAAGTCAGTGTAGTCGCTGTGCTTATATAAAGTTTTGTAGTCGTTGCCCAAAATAACGTTTTGAAGATCTGTACAATAAAATCTATTTAAATATTTAATTGGTGGGTGTGGAGCTTGACCTGCAAGCTAGCAAGACGTGTCTCACATGTACTCTTGCTGCCAAAGCGGTCTACCTGGTGATATCTTGGGCTACTGAGATGGAAACCTCAACCCAAGGAGATTACCACGCTGGGGGCTCTCTAACCTACCTTTTGATACCTTAATCAACGCCCTGAACTGCGGCGGGAACTGCAGCGGCAGGATGCGGCCTACTGGAGATGGAGTGAAGGAGAGACTGCCGCTTTCCTTCCTCTGAATCAAGATACAATTGACGAGACTCTCTCTACCCGCCCCCTGAACCGGTGGGGGATATCCCAGTCCCCTCTGGACAGCAGTCAGCTGTTTTGGCTTTACTTACCACTTAATTAAGCAGAAATCGCACCGCTCTCTAACACTCACAGATGGCGGACGCCATTTACTCCAACGCACATGGCATGCATGAAGCTCAGAGGGCTTTTAGCGACTCCACTGCATACTCCCTGTGGTGGCTGGACCAGATCTTTGAGAACTTCTGGCACGTAACACTGTCATGACAACCCACATGCCTCTACTGCTGAAAGGAAACTGGAGAAAGGGGCAGACGAATATGGTGCAGCTTCCTCAGAGCGCAAGACCTAAGAAGAAGCCTGTACAGCCCTGGGACTGCTCACCAAGGCTGAGAACCATCCGAGGCATGTCCTCAAAGCATCGTCCACGCGGGGGCGGATGAATGCATGTAAACAGTGGAGATTGCCTCTCACCTCCTTTGCCCTCCTCTTGAAGGGGATAGATCTGGTACCTCAATGAACCCAGGCCTTGGGCTGATGGGGCTCTCTGCTCCGGAGTAACTCCTGCCCACACTCCTGCCCACACTCGACTGATCTTGATTCTGGGACTGCCACCTGAGTATACTCTAGCCTTAATAACAGGAGATGTTATCCTATGAGTTAAATGCCATATAAAAAGTTGTTGTTTTATCTTTCCTTATGACTTTTCTTTCTGTCTGATTGTTCTGTTATCTCCAACAAAAAACGATCTACTATTGATGTAGTACAGTACCATAGTGTGACTGCCCCCAGAGGTATAATACCAGTGACTCTAACCAGCAAAATGTCTAACATTTCTAAAAATATACTATGCTTACCATGTCTGGTGCATACCCTTAACTATACGTTTCTACCTACAAGCAAGTAACCATGCATAGCTTAGCACCCAATAATGCTATATAGTATAACTAATTGCTTAAGCACCACAGTCTAGCACTTAACATTTTCTGACAAGGTAGCACAACATGGAAATATGACTCTACTTTTTTTTCTACTTTTTTTCTCTATATTCTTATACTCTACCTGTAAATTCGGCTGTCTTGTTATTACAAAAACTGTGAATGTTTCTTTAAATGCCTTACAGCATATACCCTTTGAATCTAGAGATGTCGCGAACCGTGGATGCTGTCCAGGAGGTGGGAGGGTCTGGGAGGGAGGGTCTGCTGGAGATTGGCCGGGATGTGTCAGCTGACCGGAGCTCGCCGCGAACGGTTCGCGGGAAGTTCGCGAACGGTTCGCGACATCACTATTTGAATCTTGATTAGACTGTAACTGGGGGGGCATGACAAGCCTGTTTGTTATTCTATGCACACAAAAATATATATATATTTCATTGGTCTAATAATTTGATATATTCTGTAAATAATCAAGACAACGTTTGCATTCCAGCCTGCATTTCTGTTTAATTATAAAACAGTTGAATCAAGCACACTTATCTTCCTTTAGGTGAGGTGTTTCATATCTAACAATTAATTAGTTTTAGCATGTTTCATTCTATATTGGTTTTGTTTAATTAACAGCAAAGACACACCATTATTACCAGGTCTAAGAAATACATTTTAATAAGAAAGAATGATAAACAACTATAGATCCCAGTATTGAAAGTTAAAGGGAAATACACTATATGGACAAAAGTATTATTGGACACCTCTTAATTATTGAATTCCAGTGTTTCAATCAGACCCATTGTCACAGGAGTAGAAAATAAAGCACCTAACCATGCAGTCTGCATTTACAAACATTTGTGAAAAAAATGTAGAGTTCAGTGAATTCCAACGTGCTATTGTGATCGGTTGCCACCTTTGCAATAAGTCAATTTGTGAAATTTCATCCCTGATTTATATTCCATGGTCAACTGTAAGTGGTATTATTGGAAAGTGGAAAAACGATTTGGAACAGTAGCACAAAATGGAAGAGCACGTAAACTCACAGAGCGAGCTCACCGAGTGCGGAGGCACATGATGGTGCGTAAAAGCCACGAACACTCTGCTTAGTGCATAGCTGAAGAGTTCCAAACTTCCACTGGAATTAATATCAGCACAACAACTGTGTGGCAGGAGCTTCATGGAATGGGTTTCCATGGCCGAGCAGCTGCATGCAAGCCTCACATTGTACATGATGTAGTACATTTAGGACAATGATATGCGTCCAACTTTGTGGGAACAGTTTGGTGGAAGGCCCTTTTCTATTCCAGCATGACTGTGCCCCAGCCGACAAAGCAAGGTCCATAAAGACATGGTTGGATGAGTTTGGTGAGGAAGAAGTTGACTGGTCCGCACAGTGCGGTGACATCTACCCCACCAAAGACCTTGGGTAAACTGGAATGAAAATTGCGAGCCAGGCCTTCTCGTACAATATCAGTGTCTGACCTCACTGCATAAATTGTCAAAATTCCCACAGAAACACATCAAAACTTTGCAAAAATCCTTCCCAGAAGCATGAAAGCTGTTAAAGCTGCATAAGGGCGACCAACTACCGATTTATTTCTATGTATTTATAATACAATATTGTAAAAGTCTGTGTGGTTGTGATGGTCAGGTGCCCCAATACTTTTACCCATAAAGTGTATAATTACCTTTCATCATTGAGTTAACTGTTAATTATTGAAAAGGCTTAAAACCTATAATCAAATGCATTTAACTTTATCTGTACATCTCCAGATATGTTTTCTTTTTGTGAAAGTAAAAAGAAAAATGTAATTGGTAATTTAATTTTTTATTGGGGTTTGATATTGTATGTGATATTGACTTGGAGTTTAGGAGAGAAAAAATACCAAGGAATGAATGAATTCTATATCAGTTAAGTTTACCTATTGTTTGACAGATTTGAAGATTCACTGCCCAGAACATAAATATGCATTTTATTTGGGTCACATTCAATGGTCATATTCTAGCTAAATTAGAGCTCTATTCAGAGCAAATCACTATTGTAAACAGATTAAGTTGTATTTTTTTATTTTTTCAGTTAAAGAGTATAGTATAGGACTCGCAGGTCCCTCAGTATCACGAGAATGGACGCGCAGGTCCCATTACATAAATACTCTCTGGTGCGTTCAACAGTGTTATGATATCAAATATGGTAACTAACAACATTAGTTAAGGTGAAACAGTGTGACCCCAGCCACTCGGCACCCGATAGGGGTATGTGGAGTGCTATTTTGAGCAGGGGGATATGCCGCAATGGGATTACCAATTGGGCCACACCCCAAGCCCTAGAGAAGAGAAGTACGCATGTTAATAAAGAAAAGAGGGAATGAAAGGAAGAGCAAGAGGGAAGTGCAGGGTCCAAGCGGGTACAGATCAGCGCACCCGATTTCCTGTGTCCTCCATGGAGGGATCATCAAGTCTCGCCCCCTGTGGCCGCAGCAAGCCGACCCTCCAGGGCCCAGTCCTCTCCCTCCACCATCCTGCAGATATCTGGCCCAGAATTTGTGAACGCACGCACCAGCCACTGTGCCCATATGTCTATGTGTGCTTGTGCCTGGAATTGGGCCGAGTACCATAGCTCCTCCAGAGCCTGCAGTTTCTACATTTTGGTATACCATAGGATCAAAGGTGGAGCCGTGTCTTTTATCGGTATCAGGGGGGTATTTTGTAATGTAGAAGATAGGAGGCTGGCCACAAGGGTGGCGAGTTATCTGTAAACAGGTCCATGATAGATGCAATTTTTTCCCAGAATGGTACTATGTTTGGGCATTCCCAACATATGTGTAAGAAGTAGTCCATTTCCCTCCTACACCTCCAGTAAAGACCTTCGGTATCAGCGTGTATTCTCTTCAGGGCTTCTGATGTCAAGTACCATTGTATGAGAACCTCATAGGCCGTAACCTGGGTTTTACCAGCTATGGCACAGTGATACACCAGGTCACAGATCTTATGCCATTGGTTCTCCGTGAACATTCCCCGGTGGCCATTTCCCATTTAGACATGAAAGGGAATGGAGTAAGTTTTATAGTTTAGGTTTATATATAATGAGGATGAAGATAAATGAATTCAAAGCAAATTTCAAAAGTTAACTTAAAATCAAAAGTATTTTCAATTTGGCCTTGTTTTGGCCTTAAAGGACCACTATAGTGCCAGGAAAACATACTCGTTTTCCTGGCACTATAGTGCCCTGAGGGTGCCCCCACCCTCAGGGTCCCACTCCCGCCGGGCTCTAGGGGGAGGAAGGGGTTATACTTACCTCTTTCTCCAGCGCCGGGCGGGGAGCTCTCCTCCTCCTCTCCTCCCTCTTCTTCCGTCACCGGCTGAATGCGCATGCGCGGCAAGAGCCGCGCGCGCATTCAGCCAGTCCATAGGAAAGCATTATCAATGCTTTCCTATGGACCCTGGCGTCTTCTCACTGTGAAAATCACAGTGAGAAGCGTGGAAGCCCTCTAGTGGCTGTCAATGAGACAGCCACTAGAGGCTGGATTAACCCATAGGTAAACATAGCAGTTTCTCTGAAACAGTTATGTTTACAGAAAAATGGGTTAATCCAATCTGGACCAGGCACCCAGACCACTTCATTAAGCTGAAGTGGTCTCTGTGCCTATAGTGGTCCTTTAAATTCACTTTATATTATGGACAAGTCTCACTTTAGTTACCTGAAAGTTATTGTCACCATGGCAACGGTTTAATATTAAGAACAATACTATGTACAAGCAGTTTAATTGTGTGATATCTCAGTGATCTGTTAGCTATGTAGGTAGTTTTTTTCTTTTTAGCTTATTTTGTACAACTAACTCTAATTTAAAAAAAAAAAAAACTTTTTTTTTTTTTTTTTTTACAACTGCTCTTATTCTATCACTGATGTGTCTCTTATAAAAGGTTTTAGCTACTTGCTGGGTTAAATCACCTTCTGCAAATTACCACCCAAGGTGACTATCCATGACATCAATATGTTGACTATTGCGGTATATGACGGACATACCCAGATTAGATTATTGGGCCTTTCTCCATTGGATCAAGAACCTACTGCATATGTGTTGACTAACCTACTACATCAAAGCAGGTACAATCGTTGGGTTCTCTAACGACTAATCTAGCTGCCAGTACATATATCGCAAAGAGAAAAGACAAGAAAAATCAAGGTAATCATTGCAGCCAATTTGAGGGAGAATACATTTTTACACTTTTGACATTCTTACAGGTTCACACTATGTGGACCTTCATCAACAGAAATAATTCAATACACTAGAACGGGACCACACTCAGCCAAAATCTACAGTTGGCGTACTCAAACTGGAGGTGGCAAATTCTCCAGTTCAATATAGCCTGGTCACACAACAGCTTCTTTTTAGCAGTTTTATTGGGTGAAGGATTGTAACAAGTGCTTACCTTTCCCCGCCGATCCCGCGCAGCGCCGGGTCCTCCTCCAATCCTTCCGGGGGGCGGCTCAGCCTTTCTGACGCCGGCCGCTCGGATCACGCCCACATTTATGACGCGGCGCATGCGCGCCGACGTCAGACTAAAAATGGTGCCAAAATTCAAACGTGGCCACGCTCCCGGACTTTTTGGGGGCGTGGCTACAAAATAAAAGCCAAAGAACCCACACTATAAAAGGGCTATCATGACACTTGTCAGATGCCCTAGTGTGGTTCTTGTTTAAGTCCCCTGGTGCTATCTTTTCTGATTGTTCTTCCTGGTATTTGACCCTTGGCTATTTCTCTGACTATTCTGTGTTCTGGTTTCCCATATCTTGGCTTGGATATTCGTGTGCCCGTCTTCCGTATTCCCTTGACCTCTGGCTATTTCTCTTGACTATTCTCAGACGCTAGTCCGGCCATTCTAAGGTCCGGTAACCGTCTTTCTGTGGGTTTCACGCTGTGTGAAGGGGTCACTGTCGTGACATTACACTAGGGCCATGGACCCTGCAGGTGTTAACCCTCTCGGACCGGCACCTGATGACCGGTTTGAGGAACTGGACCATCGCATGGACCAGTTCGCTATTGCGGTACAAACCTTGCTTGCTCGTACTGCCCATCTCCAACCGGAGGAGCAAAACCCAGTACTCAGACCACAGGAACAACCCATGGAAATGGTTACTATGGGTACTACTAATCATGCTACCTCCCCTCTCCATTACGGGGGTGATCCTAAAGGCTGCCGAGGTTTTTTGAATCAAATTAGTATATACTTTGAGCTTCATCCGAGAGCTTACCCTACAGATAGGGCAAAGATAGGTTACATCATTACTTTATTGGTCGATAGGGCATTGACTTGGGCAAATCCTCTGTGGGAGAACGATAACCCGGTAGTGTATAACTATGTAGAATTTGTCGCAGCTTTTAGGAGGGCTTTTGATCCTCCAGGGAGGAGAACTAATGCTGCCAAGACCTTGCTACGTATGAGACAGGGTTCTCGTTCTCTTGTTGATTACGCTCTAGAATTCCGTACCCATGCAGCCGAAGTTAGATGGAATGAACAAGCGTTTATTGACGTATTCATGAACGGGCTTTCAGATAAACTCCTAGATGAAGTTGCCACTAGAGACCTACCCAATGTGCTAGAGGAATTGATCACATACCTTTCCCACATTGATGAGCGTCTTAGACACAGGCAGAATACTAGAGACAGACCTCGACGGGTGCCAGAACGCTTAGCTTTAACCTATCCTTCCTCCGAGACAACAACAGTCGCTCCTCCAGAACCAATGCAACTGGGAGTCACGCGTTTGTCTGAGGAGGAAAGACAATACCGCCGTAGGGAGGGACTATGCCTATATTGTGGCCGAAAGGGACATTCTCGTTCAACCTGTCCTAACCGGCCGGAAAACTCCCGCACCTAAGCCCTCATGGAGGACAGGCCTTGGGTGTAATGTGTATGTCCTCCTTTAATGATAAAAAAGATCATAGGCTTCTTCTACCTATTGTTATTGAGTGGGAAAAGAAAAAAGTGCCAACCATTGCCTTAATAGACTCTGGGGCGGCCGAAAATTTTATTGATCATAGATTCGGTCAGGAACATGCTTTCCCATTTCAGAATAGATCAACACCCTTGGCCGTTGAGGCCATAGATGGTAGACCATTATCTATCCCATTTATTACACAAGAGACTCTTCCAGTGGTATTATCCGTAGGTTCCCTGCATAAGGAGGTTATTATCCTGCAACAAGTCACTTCTCCCATCTTCCCGGTTATTCTTGGCTTTCCTTGGCTCTCTAAACATAACCCTTCTATAGATTGGGAGAAAAAAGAAATTGTAAAATGGAGTGAGACTTGCCACAGAAAATGTATTACCCCTATTAAAAACGTAGGTCTACTTAATGTACCTACTAAGGAACCTTTAACCACTCTGATACCCAGACAATATTGGGATTTAAAAGCAGTTTTTGAACCTAGAGAGGCAGAAAAATTACCTCCACACCGGTCCTATGACTGTCCCATTGACTTATTACCCGGCACTATGCCCCCTAGAGGCACAGTTTATCCCCTCTCGGTAGCCGAGAATAAGGTACTAGAGGAATATATCACGGAAAACTTAAGAAAGGGGTTTATCACTAAATCTTCCTCCCCTGCTGGCGCTGGGTTTTTTTTTGTTTCCAAGAAGGAGGGGGACTTAAGGCCCTGTATTGATTATCGGGGTTTAAACAAAATAACTATACGAAACGCCTATCCTATTCCTCTAATCACAGAACTTTTCGATAGATTAAAAGGGGCAACTATTTTTACGAAATTGGATCTGAGAGGGGCATACAATCTAGTTAGGATTAAAAAAGGGCACGAATGGAAGACTGCTTTTAATACTCGCTATGGTCACTACGAGTATAGGGTCATGCCATTCGGGTTATGCAATGCCCCAGCAGTCTTTCAAGACTTCATTAATGATGTTTTAAGGGAATATTTACATATGTTTGTTATTGTCTACTTAGACGACATTCTAATCTACTCCAAGAATATTAAAGACCACCATACTCACGTTAGGTTGGTTCTTTCTAAACTCTTAGAAAATGGACTTTACTGTAAATTAGAGAAATGTCAATTTGATATAGACACTGTGCATTTTCTGGGCTATATAATTTCAGGGTCTGGATTTCAAATGGATAAAAAAAAACTAGAAGCTATCCTTAATTGGCCCCTGCCAGTTGGACTCAAGGCTATCCAACGCTTTCTAGGGTTTGCCAATTATTATAGAAAATTTATTAAGGGTTTCTCCTCTATCACTGCACCTATCACTGCCATGACCAAAAAGGGGCGAAATTCTATGGAATGGAATCTCGAGGCCAAGGAAGCTTTTGAGAGACTTAAATTGGCCTTTTCTTCTGCACCGGTGTTGAGGCATCCCAATCCCTCTCGTCCGTTTATATTAGAGGTGGATGCATCAGAAACCGGTATAGGAGCTGTGCTGTCTCAACGTCCATCTGATGATCAACCATTGCATCCCTGTGGATTTTTTTCTAAGAAATTAACTGAGACAGAAAAGAGATATGACATTGGGGACAGGGAGTTATTGGCTATTATCTCTGCCCTCAAGGAGTGGCGCCATCTGTTAGAAGGGTCTACCATTCCCATCACCATCCTTACGGATCATAAAAACCTTTCGTATTTTGGAGAAACTAAAAGAATGTCAGACAGACAGATTAGATGGTCTTTATTTTTAACACGATTCAATTACATAGTAACTTACAGACCAGGATCAAAGAACACTAAGGCTGACGCCTTATCCCGTCAATATGAACACTTGTCACCTACAGTAACTCATTTCTCTTCCATAATCCCATCCAACCACATAATCGCAACCGTCCATGCCAAAATCTCTTCAGGGTTAATGGAGGAGTTATCTAGGTTTCAGGATCAGACCTCATTGACTATTCCCAGGGGAAAACTATACATACCCCTGTCTTATAGGAAAAAGGTCTTATTCCTTGTACACAGCTCCAAATTAGCAGGGCATCCAGGCATTCACAAAACCAAGTCTTTACTCGAAGAACGGTTTTGGTGGCCTTCATACAAGAAGGACGTTCGCGAGTTTATTCTTGCTTGTAAGGTCTGTGCTTCCACGAAGTCATCCAAAGCTCGTCCTTTGGGCCTCCTTTTGCCATTGTCCATTCCCGATAAACCCTGGACAAGTATTGCTGTGGATTTTATAGTGGATCTGCCCCCTTCCAGGAACCATAAAGTTATATTGACTATAATCGACAGATTCTCTAAGATGACTCATCTCATCCCACTAATCAAATTACCCTCCTCTTCTGAACTGGCCTCTTTATTTATAAAGGAGGTAGTACGTTTACATGGCATACCTCAAGATATTACATCTGACAGGGGTCCACAGTTCATTTCACGGTTCTGGAGGGCATTTTGTGACCAATTAGGTATTGTCCTTAACCTTTCTTCTTCTTATCATCCCCAATCTAATGGGGTTACGGAAAGGATGAATCAATGCCTGGAACAATACATCCGCTGTTTCATTTCTGAGCACCAAGACGATTGGGTGGAACTACTTCCATGGGCTGAATTCGCCCATAATAATCTAATACACGAATCCACTCAACATAGTCCCTTTTTTATTAATTATGGGTTTAATCCTACAACTTTGCCGAGTTCCTTTTCATCTACAGGAGTGCCTAGTGTTGACAGTACTCTTCACAATATGAAAGAAACTTGGCTAGGGGTTAAACATATCTTAACTCAAAAGTCTCAGATTCAAAAGAATAATGCGGATAGACGACGCAGGGCTGCTCCTACGTTCGTAGCAGGTGACAGAGTTTGGTTGAGTACCCGCAACATAAAGTTAAAGGTACCCTCGATGAAATTTGCTCCCCGTTTCATAGGCCCGTTTCAGATTCTCAAACGCATCAATCCGGTCTGTTATAGTTTGAGATTGCCAAATACTATGAAAATTCCTAATGTTTTTCATGTTTCCCTTCTCAAACCGTTCGTTTGTAATCGTTATACGCAAATTGTCTCCACTCCTCCTACCTCACCTGTGGAGGATCATGTCGAATACGAAGTTAAATCTATATTAGATTCACGGATTTCTCGGGGTAAATTACAGTATCTCCTTGATTGGAAAGGGTACGGTCCCGAGGAGCGATAGTGGGTCAATGCATCAGATGTTCACGCCCCTCGCCTGGTTCGTCTGTTTGAGAGGCGGCGCTCTTGTGGGTTCGGTTCCACCCGCCCTGGGGGCGGTTCTCGAGGGGGGGGTACTGTAACAAGCGCTTACCTTTCACCGCCGATCCCGCGCAGCGCCGGGTCCTCCTCCGATCCTTCCGGGGGGCGGCTCAGCCTTTCTGACGCCGGCCGCTCGGATCACGCCCACATTTATGATGCGGCGCATGCGCGCCGACGTCAGACTAAAAATGGCGCCAAAATTCAAACGTGGCCACGCTCCCGGACTTTTTGGGGGCGTGGCTACAAAATTAAAGCCAAAGAACCCACACTATAAAAGGGCTATCATGACACTTGTCAGATGCCCTAGTGTGGTTCTTGTTTAAGTCCCCTGGTGCTATCTTTTCTGATTGTTCTTCCTGGTATTTGACCCTTGGCTATTTCTCTGACTATTCTGTGTTCTGGTTTCCCATATCTTGGCTTGGATATTCGTGTGCCCGTCTTCCGTATTCCCTTGACCTCTGGCTATTTCTCTTGACTATTCTCAGACGCTAGTCCGGCCATTCTAAGGTCCGGTAACCGTCTTTCTGTGGGTTTCACGCTGTGTGAAGGGGTCACTGTTGTGACTTTGGTCACTGTCGTGACAAGGATTCAATGGATAACATTCTGGTTTAAGTTTCTTCAATAAAAATATTTTCTTGAAAAAACAATGGGAGGTTAATTGGATCTGTTGATATGATCTGTTCAGTAATATTTTATAAAGAGTTATAAATTCTTCATTTCTTAAGCTATTTCTTTTTTCGAGTTTGTCATAGAGGTTGCATCATACAACATGTAATGCATTGATGAAAGTTACAATGCTTTATTTGTAGCAACACTTTTGTTTTCGAAGAATATTCTATCACTTTAGTAACACTTTATGAAGGCCATGCAAGGAACAATAACAGCAGGTCTGATCTTTCATTAGTGGAAGCTCAGGGCTTCCTGCCCATTGCCAAGATAAAAACCACACATCTATTTTATCTTTTTTTCCCTCTAATTATCACATGCTAATCATTAAATCATTTCATTTGAAATGATTGACGGTAAATGCTAATAATAATACCAATTAACATGATTTCTTTGGCTAATTATCACATTATTTTTGTTTCAATATTACTGGTCTTTGATGCAGAAATAATGACTAGCACTTACCATGCTGATCGTACTGATACAGTTTCAAAAAACATTAGTTCACTCACGAAACCATTAGAGAAACTTGTCTAAGACCTTGTTATTCTTTTCTTTAGTTAGTGACAATGAGATAATCTTTCATGCTGTCCATTCTGGAGAGTCACCTAGACTGTCAGATGTTTACATCACTCTGTGACAGCAGGCGGACACAGAAGGACATAGCATGGGGAGAGCAGATTAATAGTTTGGGGACATCAGAGTATGGCATCGATCAAGAGAACACAGGATTAATTTTACATAAAAATACAAAATATTGTTTTTAAAACGTCTCTTCTTAGTAATAAATTCAAGATGTAATATGTGAATCTTCTCCCAACAGAATCAAGACTTCATTTGATGAGATATTTGAAGATTACGATGATAAACTCTGCTCATATCGCACACAGCCTCACGGTTTTATCATTTCAATACGTTATAATAATTAGACTGCAAGAGTATCTCTGGTTTACTGCAATGCAGAGCAGTAATGTACAGACATCTTTAGGAAATGTATTATCACAGGTTCCACACGCTCCTGTGGCTCCAGGTCTCGCTGGCACACATCTCCCCACAAAAACAATACACAGATGTACTTATCATGGTTTACATAATGATTTTATGATCAATATATGTCCTGTGGCCCAACTGTGAACGGCTTACTGAAGTAGCCATCGATGTTGAAACATTTCCTGTGATACACAGCTATTCTAATTAAGCTTTAAGTATCATGGGAATGATAATCCAAACACACCAGCAGTGTCAACATTCTGCATTGCCAAATCTAAATCCTGCCTGATCTTCTTCTCGACCCATAATGATGAGGGCCAGAAGTTACGCAATTCTTCCAGGCCTTTTTCCAGAGTGTTCATTCTAAAGCCCTCATGTACCAGACCAAAGCACGGTTTAGAAGGTGTGTTTGGATGCTGAACTGAAGTTTCAGTTGTGTGGGGAGTGTTCAGCTTTGAATTATCCAAGTAAGCTTTTGAAGAAGGTATCTTCTTCTGGTCTATGCTCATGGTGTCTATGAGATTCAGGTTGCTCTTAGCTTAGCAAGACACTCCGAGGGGGGGTCTACTGGTGTCTTTGACCAACTTGGGTCTACTAGTGTCTTTCACCCACTAAAACTATGAATTCTTCTTGTAATAATCCTGGACATACCCTTCCCATATAGCACATACTATATTATATCCCTTGTCTTTCAAAGTGTATATTTATATATCATTCTTACATTGCTTTGAATTTTTTTTAAAGGAATCCTATCACTAGTGCAGATATTTAGAGAGATGACTGTTGACATTGTATAAAGCTCTGGAATATTAATAGAAATAGTTATTGATGTTCAGAAGCTCAAGAATTCGTTGTGTGGTTCTATGTCATGATTAGAATATATGCACTATTCAGGCTTTGTATCGTCCCTATCATTGCATTCAGAGGTGATTCTATACAATGTGACAGGATAGATGATGTACCTATATGCACTGGAACGTTGGTTTGGCTATACAATTCGTTGTAATTTTAAATTGTAACTATGTATTGTCATAGTGGCCAAAGACACCCAACACAAAGAGCTTAGAGAATCCCATGTAGATAAAGACAAAGCAACGTAATTCCAGGATGTAGAGATCTGGACTTAACACAATGTCTTAAGTCCAGATCTCTTTGGCCTGGACATACATTTCCAGGCTGTAAATAGAACTTGCAAACAGAGTGGCCAAGATCTATTCTGAGATTATAGATATCAGGTAAACAAGAGGACCTTACAGAAAATAGAAAACCAAAGTCGAGTGGGGTAAAAATAACAAAAAAGGGCAGGATATGATATAACATGATATTGGGGATGACCAATAATCTGAAACAGGTCATGTGAAGGAGTGTCTAGTAATGATTTATAGGCGATAACTGACTGCAATTGGCCAGTTTCATTCCTGAGTATCCAGAATAAGCGTGTTTGTTGGGGCAGACAGATTGATGCGTGTTGGAACACTAGTAAAAGCCATAGAAGAAAGAATTTGGCGTCAATAATGACACTATGCATATACCCAGCGTCACCATACGGTGCAGAACGGAAGAGGCTTGGGTCTGGGCGTGTGTGCACAAGTTTTCCTGACTGGATTTATTAACAGACAGACTTCCATGCTACGGACAATGATTAGATAGTACAGAAACGCAATAATGGATCTAAACAATCTGCCCTGGAACCTCAATGGGGAAAATTAAAAGATAAAGAACAATGAGAATAGAGGCAATAATGAAAAATAGGGTACTATCCCGAAAGGCTTGTGTTACTCACTGATACTCTGAAAATTAATGGGATCTCACTCACAAACTCAGCTTGTTGACGGCACCTAGTGTGGGATTTTCAATATATTAATGGCCATTATTAAGGGAAATACACATAAAAACAAGTTTGTAGGTAGAGAGTTTTACTGCTCTTTTCTGATCGGTACATAACTATGCTGTAGGACAATAACATTGTGCCCGAATTCACCCAATAGCCATTAATCGATAATAACCTAATAGCCAATAATCTAATATTTAAAGTTTCTATACTTTCAATCAGCAATAGCCAGGTCAAAAGATATTGGTCAAGTTATATCAAATATGCAGTAGTTTATGAAATAATAATGAAAGAAACTCATTATATTAGTACATGCGTAAGATTTAGGTGGAACCATTCAGCCATAGCACAAAAGCAGTAGAGGGGAAATATAATTTCTGTGTTTTCACAATTATTAATATCGCTATCTACCTGTCCTCCTTTATCTGGCTGATGTAGTTAGATACTAATGGCTCAGCAATACGAGCCAAAAATAAAAATAAACGCTTTATTTAATCAGCTATTTATATTGTCTGAGACAAGTGGCGCATTGGTAAATATTCCTTATAAACAAACTTCTAGCAACTGAATGCGTTTTTATTAAATGAAATGTACACAGTATGTATCGTTCACTCCACCTGCAGATTAAGCACAGTGGCATAGAAAGGGGTTTTAACGTTTAATGGAATGTGCTAAACAAGTACTTGTTGTTAAGAATGTTGAGTGAAAATTGTTGCCAACAGGAAAAAATTAAACTCCTTTTAAAATACAAAAAAATAATTACTTACATTTTTCTTGAACTGCAATGAGGTTTTTTTTTAAAAAAAAATTTAAAATTATTTTTAACTATAGCAAGATGTTGTTTTATGGCGATTTTCTAATTATTTGCCCTTTGAATTTCTCTTCTTTAATTAGAATGATTTACAAGCATGTGTTCGTACCTCAATTTGTCTGTGCTTTTTCCCGTGGTATGTCAATGATTTATTTTATTTAGTTATTACCTTTTTGGAGATTGTATTTAGAAGGAAAAAGATGCCCAGATGTAACATTTAAGAAAGAAAGAAAAAAAAAATAATTTTGACTGGTTGCTTTTGAGAAATGTAAATTGAAATGTCTAGTTACATTTTAACACATTTTAAATGAGTGTTGTTTGCATCTTAGAATTATGTTTTCCAAGTAAAGCTTGTCTCAAGAGTTTATGTATAGCTTCCAGCCTGTAAGGAAAATCTGTCTTGTATTATGTTGTTCAGATAACAAAGATAATAGGCGATACTTATGTAAAGTTGTTTCTGGATCATCCAGGATATGCTTCAGGAGTGGAACCCGCACAATCAGGGGGCCCATAGGGTGGCCCTTGCACTTGCACCCATTGGTTATTGCTGAACAGGGACCCGGCCAGGTGCTGTGGTTCTTTAACAGCGAGACTGGGCCCCTGTAGTATCGGCAATGCTGGGAGGAAGTGGCACTAGGCGAAACCTTGTCACAACTCCTACATTCACAGGGAGCCACGCAGCACAGGAGTGGGGAGAAGCAAGGAGAGAGCAAGCACCGCATTCCCATTAGCCTCAGCCAGCATCAGCAGCACCTCAAGGGGGACACCCTCCTTCACACAAAAGGTATGTTAACAGGAGGGTGGCTACAAATATAAAAAGTATGACATGTATGTGTGCATCTATCTATGTGTGCGTCAGTTTGTGTGTGGGTATTTGTGTGTCAGTGTATGTATCTGTGTGACAATGTGTGTAAGTATCAGTGTTTGTAGTTATGTGTCACAATGTGTGTATGTGACAGTGCATATATCTGTGTGTCAGTGTGTGTGTATTTGTCAGTGTGTGTCTGTGTGTCACGGTATGTCAGTGTGTGTCAGTATGTGTATCTGAGTTTGTGTGCCTGTGTCAGTGTGTTTATTTGTGTGTCAGGGCCTTTGCATGTGTCGGTGTGTGTATCTCTGTGTCAGGGTGTGTATATGTTGGTGTGCATTTGAGTCTGTGTGTATTTTCACAGTCTATGTGTCAGTGTTTGTAGTTATGTGTGTATGTGACAGTGTGTGTATCTGTGTGTCAGTGTGTGTGTATTTGTCAGTGTGTGTTTGTGTGTCACGGTATGTGTCAGTATGTGTATCTGGGTTTGTGTGCATGTGTCAGTGTGTTTATTTGTGTGTCAGGGCCTTTGCATGTGTCGGTGTATGTATCTCTGTGTCAGGGTGTGTATATGTTGGTGTGCATCTGAGTCTGTGTGTATTTTCAATGTCTGTATCTATGTGTCTGTCCTTGTGTGTATGTGTTAGTGTGTATCTCAATGTCTATATGTGTCTGTGTGTTTATATGTGTGTATCTGTGTATGTTAATGAGTATGTATATTTGTGTATGTATGTATGCAGTTGTGTATGTGCATCATACATGTACATTCCAGCAAACACCAATATAACATGCAAACACACCCATGCATTCAAACTCCAAAATTATATGCAAACACCCCTTCATTCAAACACCAGCACTACATACAGAAGCACACCTACATATAAAAGTCAACACTACATGCAAACACAATCCTGCATTCAAATGACACGAGTACATCACCGCATTCCAATGGAAACAGTTTATAGAAATACAGCCCTACATGCACACACGTAATCTGATATTAAAATGCATATGGGCAAATGGTAAATCCCCAATTGACATATCATTGTGGGAGTTCAACAGACGGGGATTTACCTTTGGCCACCCTTGTGATAGGTGGGGGGCCCAAACAAATGTATTGCACCAGGGCCCTCTCTACATTAGGTCTGCCATGGATATGCTTACACTGTTTGGCTTGTTTGTAAATACATATATTAACAGTAATAAATAGTGATAATTAAGATGGAATTATTGCAGTGTTACAATTTATACAGTGACGCATACAGTCTATTTGGGTGAGTACATTTGCCTTAAGCTCGGGTTGGCATTATCCTTTGCATCCTTCTTTATTAAGCTGTAAATGTTAACATTCTACTAAAGAAATAAATACAAACACAAATGAAAACACAAACAGGAAGGAAAGGATGATGGAAAATACAACTTGTAAAAATATTCAGAAAAATTTTAATTAAACCAAAAAAGAAATTTAAAAAAAACCAAAAATATGTCTAAACTTGATGCTCTTGATTCTAGTTCTTCTCTTAAATATTATTATTTATTTTTTTAAAATAATAATAATTTAATAAAAAAATTTTATAATAAAATAGCGTTTCTATATTTATGTGATAAAGTAGGATTGGTCAATGTATTCTGTATCATATAATCTTATATATTACATTATTTAAACAATATTTTATTTTTAATGAACTAACTGTCTAATCACTTCTGTAACAGTCTAAATATTTATATTAAAATACAAACGTGGATTTGGAATCAATTAAGATATTTTAAGAGGTATATGTGACAATTTGAACTTTATTTTTTCTGTACTAGCTATTCATTGTCAAAACCATGGAAACCTGACCATTAATAAACCCAGTCAGCCGGGAGAACTTGTGGGCACACGTCACATCACGTCACATCAGAACCAAGGGCACGCACAAGAAGCACCAGAAGATGATATATACCAGTATTAGGGAAAGGAGTCCAGGCACTCAAATGTCTTCAGGCAAAATGCGGCTGATGTGTTTCTGATGGATGGTGAGTACCAAATAATTTCATACTAAGCCAGAATTTAATTAGAGTTAATTAATTAACTGTTGATTATTTAATTGGTTGATTGTGATTTTGTACGCTCACAATGCTTTTTCTTATAAATGTTGGTAAGCTTTAGTGTGAAGTAGCTTGACAAAGACTTCTTTGGGAGTCAGTGGCAGATTCGGGGGGGGGGGCAGCAGGGCAATTGCCCCCCCCCCGAGAGCCGATGCTCTCCCCTGCAGGGCCAATGCAATCCAAGTGCCGGCCCTGCTATGTGCCTTCAGAAACCAGTAGGGAGATCAGAGATCCCCTTCACCAGTCTGCGGGCACTTTGTTGGCAGCTGGCAGGGAGGGAGAGAGGACCTGGGTGCTCAGCCTGCAGCTCCTTCGGGTTCTCCTCTCGCAAGCACAGAGTATTGCCGCGGTTACCACGGCTATGCTCCAGGTTTCGCAGGCTAGAGTTCACTTGGACTGCCAGGTATTCACCACTAGGACCACCAGGTATTGCAGGAAATATCCCTCCTCCGTCAGTAAAGGAATAAAGGGAGGAGGGATATAAAGTATTAGTATTAGTTTAATTAAAAATATATATTTTTACACTTGCTTTAAAGGGACACTCCAGGCACCCAGACCACTTCTGCCCATTGGAGTTGTCTGAGTGCCAACTCCCACTACCCTTAACCCTGCAACTGTAAAAATTGCAGTTTTCATAAACTGCAATATTTACCTTGCAGGGTTAACCCCTCCTCTAGTGGCTGTCTATTAGAGGACCTCCAGCGTGAGGACTTCCAGCGTTGCTAAAATCCCCAATGCTTTCCTAGTGGGAGGTCTAATGCACGTGCGCTGCATTGCCGCGCATGCGCATTAGGTCTCACCCCGCCTGCTGCCGCACATGCGCAATCTGTCTCCCCCCGCTGGATGACGTCGGCTGGGGAGGAGCGTGGGCGGACCCTGGACCAGCGCAGAGGGACATCGCGCTGGACTCCGGTAAGTCACTGAAGGGATTTAAACCCCTTCAGCAACCTGGGATGGGGGGTGGGAGGGAGAGGGGATTGTTTTCCTGGCACTGGAGTGACCCTTTAAGCTACACATTCTCACACACACTGCCCCATAACCTCAAACACACACTGCCCCCCCGCACACACACACACACATTGCCCCCATACACACTGCCCCACTCAAACACAGACACACACACACATACTGCCCCATACACACTGCCCCCCCACACACACCACATTCTGCCCCAATACACACACACTGCCCCTTCACACACACGAACACACTCTGCACCCCTCACACACATACTGCCCCCATACACACTGCACTCCCACTACACACACACACACACTCTTCACACACATTGCATCTTTCACACACATTGCATCTCTCACACACACTTCACCCTTCACACAAATTGCACCCCTCACACACATTGCACCCCTCACACACAAACAAACACATTGCACTACTCTCACACACACATTTCTGCCCCTATCCCCTGCTACAGGACCTGTCCCGGGAGACCCCAGGTAAGTTGTCAAATGGTTCTTAAACAGTTTGACTGCGTACTCTGGGAAGGCGCCCACGGCACTCCTGGAACCATAACAACTATAGAGACTGGTAGTGGTTATTGTGCCTGGATTGTGCCTGTAACTAATCTCCAAGTACCTCTCCCGAGATTCGGTTCTGGATCCGCTCCTGTTGGGAGCCGAAACGTTGCAGTATTCCACATGTTCCAATAAAGGTGCCTGAAGACATTGGAGTGCCTGGACCCTTTTTCTACTACTGTTATTTATCACCTGCAGCCCAGGCCCAAGCCTCCTCCACACTGCTTCATATAGTGATTCTTTGTATCTGCCTAATGTCATTATTGACATCAAATCCTTTCATTCTATGGCTTTATAATAATGTGAATTGGGTGCACTCCCAGGACATGCATTTATAAGAAGTGTTACTACTGTAAAGACTAAAATCTATACAAAAACAGTTAAAGGAACAGCGCACCCCCCAAAAAACAACAAATACGGTTTTAAATTTTACAAGGCTGTTTAAATCACCTATTTTTGCAAACAAAGGTGCAGATTCAGTTACACCATATAACCATGTTATGTTAAGCCTACCGCTTAGTCAAAGTACGCCAGTATCGGTGTGTTTTTCATCTTCTAGTGTTCTAACATGTATCTTGGTTCAAGCGTCGATTTGCTGAGCTATTATAGCAACAAACAAGCTGAGTGTTTTCAAGGCTCAAGGACAGAATGACTTTGCTCTTCCAAGTATGTATAACATAAAACCTCCAGGCTATCTTACACTGTGCAACCATCTTCCCCATTCCACTATAACCACCGAATAGCCCAAACAATTGTCCTAACATCTCCTGTGTATCTGAACAACACAGTGCATTTACATGCTACTTTATCATAGCAAACTTACTAGTACTCCTTTGGCCCCTTTAATATTTAATTAAAACTTGAATTGTATACTAGTCATACCCTCAATACTCTACTATTTGGTTATTCACCTTATTCCTGTTAGCATTGTCTGACCTCTACTCCGACCTCGACACCCACCTCGAAATGTTGAAATGCTTGATTTTCCCCTGCAAAGACCCAAAAGCCAGGTCATTCGGTACTTTCCCTATTTGAACAGTGATACCCCAGATAGCTATGCCATGGAGCCCATTTGTATAACGAAAGACTATGTGAAAGACTTTGGCTCCATAGCAATTGAACTGTATGTATGTGATCTGAGCGCCATTCAGTAATAATGTGCGCTCAGATCTAAGCTATCTGGGGATATGTTGAATGTACCTGTTTTATGCAATAGCTGCACAGTTATATATATTTATGTATTTTATTGTTTATTGCTACCATGTGGCTAATGGAGTTTTGCCTCTGTCCTTGGAGATAATTGGATTACTTCCCAATTATCTCCAGGATAGAAGACTCTGTGGAACCGGTTTTGGGCAGAAAAGCCATGCTTCATTTGGGCACAAAGGACTTTGGTCTAACTTTTGACCCACTGGACCAATTTGTATGATTTTGACGTATGTTTGTATTTGGAGTATGCTGATGAAAATTTAAGTTTTATGTGAATGTGACGTATACTTTAAAAGTTATGAATATTGTGTAAAATGGTGTATTTTGCTGCCTGTGATAATTAAGTCAGCCCATCACCAGGTAACTCCATTGTTACTGCACTCGATAAACTACACAGTGTCTCTAAATTATTTAAGCCTTACTGTTAGAGTTTTCTTTATAAAATGTAATAAACAGTCCTGGATAAAAGCAAATAACTCTTTCTTTCGTTCCAAAACAATGCTTTTTCTGTCATTCTTCTAATTAAAATAAGAGTAACAAAGACCATTCTTCTTTTTTCCAAGCTTTTACTTCGCTATTTTTCAGTAAGTCTATGGACTCTGTGATGGGATTTAGAAATTAGACTAGCATAGAATTCCATCTGTTAAAAGCTCGCTTAGACGCCAAACCTCACGGCTGTTTATTTACTTTTAACAAAAGCCAAGGAAAACAAATTGAGTTGTGTTGTGCAATAATTAATTCAAAAAGTTTGACCTGTGAATTGTTTTCCAATATTTCCTTACTATCACAGACGAGAACCCACAACTTGTTTGCAATTGTTACTAATATTTGGGTTTATGTTTATAAATGAAAACTCATCTGTCTTCTTGTTTTCTTGAGATGGCTTAATTTAAATTTAAAGATTAAGTAAGTTTTACGATATTCTTAACTGCTTCATCCAGCTAACAGTTCAACACTCACCGGGACAACTTTTTATAGTGAGAATTAGAATTATTTTCTTCATTACAATGTTTATGCTATTAAATATAATAAACGATTAAAACATTGACAGCAACATCTTTCTGATTTCCTCTAACTATGATTAGTTTCACTCAAACCAATTTTTGAAGTCCATCTGCTCCCTTCCTCTTTGATTAACGTGATAATGTGAATTCATGTTATTTTAAATATTTTATATTTCTTTCCTTCTCAATAATAAAATACTTACATCAATCTGATGGCTCGTCTACTCTTTGCACTGTATGGCTCTTAATTATTCAGTAGCCGCTATAACTACTTTAAAAAGGGTTTTTTGTTGTTGTTATAAGTGTCCTTATTTGACCACAGAGTCCAGACATTTATGAGTCAATGACACATGAATATAATCCAGGTCTGTTGCTTTATACTGATAGGCGTTAAATTGTCCTTGCTGTCAATGAGAAAGTTTTGAGTGGGCAGGTTCTGATCTACAAACTTGAGAACACCTGGTTTGTATCTCTTAAGCAGGATATATGGAACAGCTTTGGCAATAGAAAGGCTTCGTCAAGTAGGTCCTGCTTTTAGGACACCTGGAACTGGTGGTGAACCCTGACATCTATAATCTGCTCAGAGATGGAGATGTTTTGGATATTACATCAGCGTATCCACGCGGCCGGAAGGAGGAATATATATAAATGAAGAAATGGAACGTATGAGTGCGTTCCACAACGGAATTACCCGCGAACTACAACTAATTAAGGACTTATATATGGACATGGACTGGACATAAGTTTAGAGAGACAACTGAGGAAGCCACAACAGGCGAAACGCGTATTGGCTTATTTATATTTTATCCTTTTATATTCTATCTAGTTTTTTATGTATATTTTTCAATAAATCCATTTTTTATTATTCCATCCCCTGGATCCTCTCCTATTTATTGGAAGCATCACTACCAGCCACAGAAGGGCTAGGATCACCCTGAAATAGATCCTGAAGTCATCTATACCAGAGCCAGGTTTCAAATTGGCTCTGATTTTGTGAGTGTTTCCTTGCACATATTGCTCTTTAATATTTATTGTTAAATTGTCTGCACTATTTTGTGTATCTCTCTATCTCTACAGTATTATATTGAGAAGAGGAGAGAATAGTATTGCTCCATCCATTGTGTCTGCATGTTTTGGATATTGTCCACTGGCAGAGGACTCGTTCCCATTCGGGCCTTTAGACGTTGTCCCTGTCATTCTACTTTTTGTAACATCTAGTAGTTAAAAGGTAATTCCATAAACCATGACCACTTCAGTGATTTGAAGTGGTCATAATGGTTGGAGTTTGTATTTGAACTCTGTTCTGGGCTGTCCAATTTCAACTCTCTGCATATTTTACCCCTGTCACCAGTGCGCACAGAGCACGGGCATGAAGAGCAAAACTCTTCTCCCTTCAAGGACTGAAGTAACCCTTTAACTGTAGATACTATCAGCCAAAATACCAAGAAGCTCCCAACCTCCAGGTCCACGTTTTCCATGGTTTGTGGCCTTCTAATGTCTGCCCCGAAGGAGTATGTAGGCTGCTAACATCAAGCCGGTTCTTTTCACAGAAACCTAATATTGATTTTCAGTCTAGAGATGGTAATTAGAAACCTAACATTTCATCCACAAATAATTATCAACTAGTTCAACTCCTGTCAAACGTAGAGCATTTGCAACAAGTGAAATTCACAGGGAAACAAAGAGGTTTATTCGCTAAATGCAGAATTGTTGTGAATCGGAAACTGAATTGCAAAGTTTTAGCAGCAATTACTGGATTGGGAATATATTCCACAACAGGCGTAGTCAAAGCTTGAACATTATAGCCTACATTTTGAATGATTGTTTTTTATATTTTGGGGAAAAGGGTGCATCTAGATACACAATTCTACAGTGCTTTCTAAAATAACTAAAGCAGGGTATCCGCTCATAGCTACATTAGCATCATTCCACAGTTTGTTGTTAAGGGATTCACTAACAGGTCAGGCTGCCTCACACTCACTCATTCACTCACTCTCTGGCTCTTACTGTCGAATCCTGGCTGAGTACGTGTGTGTTTGGACATTGCGTGGAGCCAAACGTATTCAAGGTAATACAGGTAATAATTTAATTTACATTCTGTGACAAAACAACTGTTTATCACCTGTTGTTTTGTCACATTTCTGTATCTTACACAAGGTTTGGGAATCCTTGTAGATTTACTGGAGCATGTTCACATTATAGCGAGCGCCTACGCCTGTCTTTTTTCTGTACAATTTACATTCTGTGCCCAGAGAGCCAGACAGGGCATCTAAATTTAAAAAAAATAAAAACGTGTAATAAAAAAAAAAATAATTAGTATAACTCATAGCTAACTTTCACCTTCTTTTGAAGAAGTGCTAACATTCGATTTGCTATTAATTTGTGCATAATGTTCACGCTAGGGACAGCTCTAGAATTTAAAGTATGATTGAAAGTCTAAATGTATAGTTAAATGTGATGTTAATATATATATTAATACTGTATATACCCTATTCTGTGCTATTGTTTCAGCTATAAAATACCGGCTACGCAGCATTGCAAGGTTATTAAAGACTAAAATATAAACATGCCTTTGTTAAATCAAGCAAACATCGAAGCTTGATTATGTTACGTCATTACAAGGCTTTCTCTCAAGGGCAACAAACATGTGTCTGCAATGTATTAACTGCCAGTAATTAGCTGTGGCTGTTACGCATAAAAGCTAATTGCTACACATAGAACTGATTTGCAGCTACTGTAGCAAATGATTAAAAGCTTGTCAGATGAGCAGACCTTTCTGCTATGCACATTTTCTGACTGTAAAACTTTGTAACTGCTCTGTGGAATGTCATACGCCACCTTGGCTACATAATTTATAACGAACTCCTTAATTAAATCACCGTCTATGTTTATTTTACAGTCGTAGGGTTTAGCACCGGTGTGGGCACCTGCTGGTCTGCGTAGGGATGACAAAGCCATCATATCACTTACTTGCCACTTCTTACTGATGGACAGCACATGAAAAGTTCCAACATGCATGTTGCAGGTGAAAACAGTTAGTGGTGAATCTTGCCCCGTGTCACAAATTGATTAATTTATTAACTTCCTTTAAATGGCCCATTCTTTTTAAATTCATTGCACAGATAATAGTTTAACAATATACAAAAACAAGCAATACAAAATATATAAATAAATAGATAAAATAGATACTCAGTTTTAAAGTTACTTCTTTTTGTGCAAAACCCCAACACATTTCACATTATCAGCCTTGAACAGTGCCCACTCCAGGAAGTAGTGAAGCCATACATTGGTTTAAGGAGTCTGAACTATTGTACGTGTTTAACTCAGCACTGCAAGGGTTAAAGTGTAGTAAGGAGGGTCCATATAGCAGATTTTATAGCACAACTTTGTTTGTTATCCCTCCTGCAGTCTGTGAATGCTGTGTACTGAAGGACATCACTGCTCATGTTATGATATGGGCAGACCTGGTTTCTAGCAGAGGAGGGTTTATATTTAACATATAATGTTTGTGAGTCACAGCCTCGTCGCATTATTCTACTTCTGTTTAAAAGAATTGGAGGGTGCATTGAATGTACAGTATGTTGGTATAATTTTGCAGGTGTGAGGCAGTATAAAGGAACTGTACAGGGCAATTGCCAGCAGTATGTGTTTTGTGCTTGGTTTATGGCCCAGAATCTCAAAGCTCTCCAAGCAAGGACTAGCCCACTGAGATATTCCTGGGATCTGGGATCTTGATCTTAACATGTATATCTTGGAGGAAAGAAGAGACAGGGAGGATATGATAGAAACATTTAAATATATAAAGGGAATCCACACCGTAAAGGAGGAGACTATATTTAAAAGAAGAAAAACTACCACAACAAGAGGACATAGTCTTAAGTTAGAGGGACAAAGGTTTAAAAATAATATCAGGAAGTATTACTTTACTGAGAGGGTAGTGGATGCATGGAATAGCCTTCCAGCTGAAGTGGTAGAGGTTAACACAGTAAAGGAGTTTAAGCATGCGTGGGATAGGCATAAGGCTTTCTTAACTATAAGATAAGGCTAGGGACTAATGAAAGTATTTAGAAAATTGGGCAGACTAGATGGGCCGAATGGTTCTTTGAATTCAAAGCATGCTTAAACTCCTTTACGCCATTCAATGTTTCTATGAGTTTTTTTGCAAAAACCCTGCTACTGATTTTAACTTGCATTTAGAACAAACCCTTAAAATTTTCCTGTGAACCCTAGATTTGCTTATTTTTCATCTGCAACTCCCAAGACTCTCAGACTCATTTAATGGTTAGTGACAATGGACATGGCATTTAGATGATTAAATTCATTCTTCTGTGGTTACCTAATGAAACAGCTAGTGGTGGTATCTAAACGTGTGCATGTTAAAACACCACGTTATGAGAAGATAACACATTATTGCAGTGATTCCTGCAATAAAACAATGTCATAGAGATAGAGGCAAACACATTATAATCTAATAATGCAAAATAACATTGTTACATGTTTAGTAGGCAATTACTAACCGACCATCGCAGCTCCAGTCCTATTAGTTTCATGAAGCACAGATGGCCCTGCTAGTAATGAGATATAATACATATAATGTAATCATTATAGTACATGCACTCTGGGGTTTCCAAATGAAGAATACATAGCGTTTGAAGGTGAAATGTACATTGCAAACACATTAACCTTATTTTACCAGCAATGCTGTTTGCTTTGCATAATCAAGCTCTGTAAATTAGCATACTCTGTTAAAGGGGACTGTCACTTCTCTGGAATTTAAATCATTAAATAAAACATTGAAAATCTCTTACAATTTGTGCTAACCATTTTTTTTTGTTACGAGATGTTCCATTTTCTTTTAAATCTATATTAAAGATTAAGCAAATTACATCATAATCCAATTCGGACAAGGCACAGCCAGGGCACACAATGCAAATTAAGAGGATAAATAGAAACATTGTTTAATTTCTCCTCCTCTCTCTATGCTGACTGCCAGGTGTAAATGGCTGAGCTCATAACAACGATTGACAGGGAGCTAAGATGGAGGCACCCAGCGGCAGGATTAAGAGATGTGCATTAATACATTTAATTTTATTTTTCACAATCTTACAAATACAAATTTGTTACATATAGGGATAAGTATACGTAACCTCTTTTTGTTTCCAAGTAACTTCCTGGGTTTCATCTTATAGGCAATGGGAGATCAAAGGTTATGTGTTTCTAAGTTTAGACTTTTTTTTAAATTCTTGATTTAGGATCAGGTACAATAAGTATATGTCATAGAAAAATATGTGAGGATTATTAATTCGTAATGGAAGTGTAAATGGAAGTGTAACAAGAGGAAAATAAATATTAAAAATATAAAAGATGAATGAAAGATGACTTTGACCTAAATGAGAAAATATCATGGGGAGACAATGGAGGGAAGACTTGAACCACTTCACTACCAATCACTTTTTTTATTATTAGTACATTTTATTCTGAAAATATTACCATAACATTTCTATGAACCACAGTGTGGTGGAACCAGCCTCGCCACTGGGCATTGGAGAAGACTGATTGCCAGCCTAGCTATGCCATGGAGCCCATTCGTATAACGAAAGCCTATGTGAAAGACTTTGGCTCCATGGCAATTAAACGGTATGTATGTGATCTGACCTCCATTCCGTAATAACGTGCGCTCAGATCTAAGTTATCTGGGGATATGTTGAATGTACCTGTTTTATGCAATAGCTGCACAGTTATATATATTTATGTATTTTATTGTCTTTTGCTATCATGTGGCTAATGGAGTTTTGCCTCTGTCCTTGGAGATAATTGGATTACTTCCCAATTATTTCCGGGATAGAAGACTCTGTGGAACCGGTTTTGGGCAAAAAAGCCATGCTTCATTTGGGCACAAAGGACTTCGGTCTAACTTTTGACCCACTGGACCAATTTGTATGATTTTGACGTATGTTTGTATTTGGAGTATGCTGATGAAAATGTAAGTTTTATGTGACTGTGATGCATACTTTAAAAGTTATGAATGTTGTGTAAAATTGTGTATTTTCCTGCTTATGATAATTAAGTCAGCCCATTGTGTTCAGTAATTATACCACAGGCAGAGGGGAGGATTTTGTGTGTAATTGCTGGGAGTGTCTGAGTGTATTGTACATATGAATTGGTTGTTTTGCAAAACCCTGTGGGCAGTACTCTGTGTGTACAATGTGCATAAAAGCAGAGTGTTTGATTAAAAGCTTCAGTTCTACTTCACCCTCAATTTGGAGGGCCGTCTCTTATTGGGGGAATCTGCTACAAGGGATTGATATGCTTGTCATACTCCCTTGCTAAATCTCTACTAAGCTCTTGTAAGAGCTTGTTCCAGCCTTGCTCTCTGGAGGAAGCTACGGTAGTTATGGTGTCTGCTGCAGTGCTTGGAGACCTCAATAAGCGCTAGGAGCATCCTTCAACGGAGGTACCCAGTCGGGGTGCCCGTCGATCCGTTACACACAGGATGCTTAACTACCAATAAATGATGAAACAGCAAAGGCGAGATTGCTGCTCGGACATACATAACATTTTATTGTCCCTGTTATTGCTCATTGTTTATAAAAATATTGTATGGAATGAAAATGTTACTACGCATTGTAGTGCTTCTAGTGTCAGGAGTTCCCTGTCACCACCCATCTCCTTCATTATAAGTAGTTAAACCATTTAAGGACGGTGTGATTTTTGCCAGGTGCCGCTCCGTGCATCAAAACGTTTGACAGAGAGCCAGCTTAGGAGCTTCTGTTTGCTCTGCTGAGCAAAGCCTTGCAGTCACTGGCCGAACTACCGTGGTCGCAGCTGTGACCAGCCCCATCACTTCAGGGGGCCCGGGCGACCAACGGACCACTGTAACCGGGTGCCCACCGCCATGTGTTGTGGCCCCGGTCCGCACAGTGTAACTGCCGGGGTCGCATTAATGGAGCCGATCGGGTGGCCCATGCTGCTACTTCCTCACAGCTTCTGACATCATCGGAGGGGGTCAGTGTTGCGCTTTAACTGATGATGTCAGACGCTGGGAGGAAGTGATTGCCCTGGTCACTTCCTCCCAACAATCACAGGGGGTCGTGGGGGAGGAGGAAAGAGAGGAAGGAGTCAGAGTGGGAACTCTGACTCCCAACAGCCTGCACCACTGGACCCAAGGGAAAATTATCCTCCTGCAGCTAAAAGGTAGGAAACAGGAGGATGACTTAATCCTTTTGCATGTGTGTGTGTTAGTGTATGTGTGTGTGTCTGTATGTATGTATGTATGTATGTGTCTCTGTCTGTATGTATATGTGTCTGTGTGCTTGTGTCTGTATGTATGTGTGTCTGTGTGTATGTGTATCTGTGTGTATATGTGTGTGTCTGTATGCATGTGTCTGTGTGTGTGTGTGTGTGTGTATGTGTGTATATGTCTCTGTGTGTGTCTGGATGTATGTGTCTCTGTGTGTATGTGTGTGTTTGGATGTATGTGTGTTTGTATATCTGTGTGTATGTATCTGTATGTTTGTATGTATGAGTGTGTATGTGTGTGTCTACATGTCTGTGTGTATGTATCTGTGTCTGTATGTATGGGTCTCTGTGTGTATGTGTGTGTGTTTGTATGTGTATGTGTGTCTGTATGTATGTGTGTGCTTATGTGTCTGTATGTATGTGTGTATATGTGTATGTATGCATGTGTCTACATGTATCTGTGCCTGTATGTGTCTGTGTGTGTGTCTATGTGTGTGTCTTCATGTGTATCTGTTTGTCTGCATGTGTGGGGGGTAGACAAATGGGGGGTAGGGAGGTAGGGCAATTTTCTCACCAGGCACAATGGTTTATAGTTACGCCTCTGCTTGCAGTGCTAAAACATTGGTGGAAAGTGACAGCTAATCACTCTCAGCCAGTGAGCTAAGCCCTGCACTGCCTGCCTTAACTTACTTCTGGCTCTCCATAGAAAATAGAGAAGGCAGAGAGCGGTACCACAATGACCCCAGGCAAAAAGTCAAACTGTTATAAAACAGTATGACTACTTACAGTTGGGCCACCTGGGAACTCATGGCACCATAAGTACTTCAGCTTACTGTAGTGGTTATGGTGCTTGTAATGTTCCTTTAAATTTAGGCCTCATGCTGCATTGAAGTAGACAGGCTTAAACTTGTACCTTCCTCTCGTCCCCACTCACTTCTTGCCTTGTTGATGGAATTTCTGCTAAAGCACAAGAAACACAAGAAAAGAGCAGAGGAACGGAGCTAAGATCAATCTTTGATTCTACCGGGTACACAATACGTCTGTTCTCATCTACGGTGGAGCACAACAACAGTTCAAGAAAGGCTAGGCGTCAATCACTTGTGAATTTCTAACGTGCTTGAAGATGGCCGCCTACATGAACTTACGAGCTAAGTCGCCTCGGTGCTCTGCATCCTGTACACCCAAGCTAAAGGAACACTATCGCATTAGGAATACAAACCTGTTCTTAGTTAAATTCAGCCTCTACCCCCTACATCATTTAACATAAAAAGAAATAAAATAAAGCATTTCACTCACCTTTTCCCAGTGCCGAGACTCTTTCGGCTCAGCTTAGCTTTCCGACTCCTGCGATGACCTTCTCCACCATAAACCATTGGTCTCCTGAAGAAAAATGAACTTCTCAATCAGAATGGATCTCTGAGAAAGAAGTGAATTTTTCTCCAGGAATGATCTCCACTCCTCGCATATAAGGTGTGGCTTAGTGGAGTGGGGTTCCATGGACTTTATTTTCTTTTGTCTTGATTTTGCAACGTGTGTGAATGATTTTGGTGAATGAGATTAAGCACCTCTATGTTGCTTCCCTATGGTATCAAGCCAAGCTCCGTAATAACACTGACATTTACCTTTTGCATATTTCTCGGCATCTCTCGAAGATATTATCATGAACCTGACATAGAACGGTATTCGTTCATAAAATTAAGTACTTAAACCTCTGTCTCTGTAACACCAGCACTGTACGGTGAATCAGTGGATCATCACTAAGCCAGATTTACTGGGACCTGATTAAAAAAAACTCTTATAGCTACTTTATTTCTTGTGCTCTTTCTACAGAATCCAATGCAAACATCGCTGTATAATCTGATTTAGAGGGTTATTTACTAAAGTGAGCATTCAAAGTGAATCTCGAATTTAAGACCAGAGTAGCCAAGCTAAACGCATAGTTGAATTTTTCCATGTTGATTACTTCGACCTTAGACTTAAAATTCACTTTGAATTCACACTTTGGTGACGAACTCTGTTAGCGTCACTTTTTGTACAGTGAAAGGGAATATTTACACACAGTCGAATGCTGAGCCCAAAGGGAAAAAAAAAAATAATCAAAAATGATTCTCCTATTAAAAGTAATAATAATAACAATAATAAGGAAGGATTATAATAATATATTTTTAGGCTGCGAGCTATTTAGGTTTTCAAATCCATCTGTTATCACATTGGGGTCATTATAATTACATAAGCAAAGCAGGAGTAATTTTAAAAAGATTATAAAATGAATTTGCATTAGGCGTTTTCTCTTTATACCTAATATGTCAGGAACATTATAAAGATACCATGGGGACATAGTCTTCATTACTTTGATGTAGTCTTTGTATGACTCTGTAGAAATACAACAAGCCTACTGTGACCCCTTCATAATGCCGCCTCATATTTTATTGTTGCCTTGATCCCTTAATGAAGTAGCTACATTACTAATGTATATCAAGTTTCTACATTTTACTGAATTTTATTAAACTGGATGCAATGTGACAGACGCGTTTCATTTTCACAGCTGTTTCATAATTTAAAGGTAACAATATATATGTATTTTTTTAATTTGCCTTCTTACCCAGGGTGAGGACTTTAATAAATGAAATGAAACCTAAATGCAGGTTTTAAAATGATTAAAGAGTATTTTTTTTTTTTTTTTTACCCAAAACCTTTTCTAAAATTACACAGCGAAAATATAATTAATAAAAATAAATATATTTCAAATAATGTTTCCCATAAAACAGCAGCTGGGGTAACTTAGGGTATATTCATGTATGACATCTTATCCCCTTTAACTTTAATGTTAATTTTTATATAACCGCTGATTATAGATCTGATTTTAATTTATATTTTATGAGACGAGTCATTTATGACGTCTTAATACTGTACTGAATAATACTGTATCAGAGTGATTAGCTAAAGGGATATTTCAAAGTGAATTTCAAATTCAAGGTAGAAATATCCAGTCTGAAAACTTAGTTCCGCATCTTTGGCTTTAAAGGAATAGCAAAGGCATCAAAATAATTTCAGATTAATGAAGCAATTTTAGATCATGCCCCTGCAGTCTCACTTCTCCATGCTCTGCCATTTAGGAGTTAAATCACTTTTGTTTCTGTTTATGCAGCCCTAGCCACAACTTCCCTGGCTGTGACTGACACAGCCTGCATGAAAAGCATGGTTTCATTTTTAATCAGATGTAACTTGCTTTAGAATTTTTCATCTCTTGCTCTATAAATTAAACTTTAATCACACACAGGAGGCTCCTGCAAGGCCAATAGGGCGAATTACAGAGCAGGTGATGAGAAATTCTAAATTAAACAGACTGTGCAATAAATGAAGTTTAAACATTAGATCTCTCTTTACATGAAGTGTTTAGAAAGCTGTATAAGACACATGCAGGGAGGAGTGGCTAGGGCTGTATACAATAAGTGATTTAACTCCTAAATGGCAAATAATTAATCAGTGAGACTATGCAGTCTATACACCAAAGCTGCTTTTGTAAGCTTGGTGCCTATAGTGTTTCTTTCAATTTGAAATTCACTTTGAATTCTTACGTTGGTGAAAAACCCTAGATATCAAGGGTTTCTTAAGACAAATTCCAGATCACAACAACAATATATATTTTAATGCTTTATTTATTTATTTATTTATTTATTAAACAAGATCACTGATTGTAGGTTAACAAGGGTTCTACCTGTTTTAGCTGTCCTTAAATGTTATATTCAAACAGAGTAAGCCACACAAAACAATTGGTGACCTCTGAGCCCACTGCCTTCACTTGCACACTTTATTTGGGTTTTAAAATGCTTGAAATAAAAGAAATCGTTTTCTACAATAAATAATCTGAGATTCAACTGACCCAGACTGGTCCTTCTTCTGGTAACCCCAATGAACAACAAAGTAACAGCTCACCTAATTCTCTTATTTTTTATTTTTTTTACAGCACGGCTATTTTGATCTAACATATAACCGAACAGCCCTTTTGTTAATTCCTGACAATTAGTGCATAACACTTGCTGGATTGCCTTTTTTTTTTTTACTTTTTATAAACGTAGGTTGGTGTTCTGACCCTAGCAGTGATAGCCATGCTGTGTTTTCTGACCGAGACTGACCGAGGCTAACAGACATTGTAATTCAGTGCTCTGCTAACCCTGTGCTATCGAATTTCTAAGGCACTTTTTATTTTCCGAATACAATTGAAATTTCATTTCTCCAAAGAGAAAAACAATACATTAAGGTCAAACCAACATGTAGCTTTTGCTGGAGGTGTGACTCGAGAGTCCCAATACTGAATAACTCATCATATCTTAATATGACTGAATGGATATGAACTAATGGAATTCTTTTGAGACAGCTGGTTGATGATGATGTATACCATACATTGCGTTGGTGCCTTGTGAACAATTTGTTTACACATTATTTCAATTTCCATTAGGAATACGTACTGGGGTACTCATGTTTTATTGCATGTTTGTATGTATGTGTGTGTGTGTGTGTGTGTGTGTGTATATATATCACAAAATTATACATACCGGTAATAATTATTTTTGAATTGTATTGCTTTGAGGCTGCTGATCTTAAAGAACAACTGTCACCTCAGTTTTCATATAATAAGCCTTTCATCAGGTTTTGAGATTATATAGATTGTCTTTTTTGCTAAATAAGGTACCTATAAGAAAAAAATAGAAACACGCACCCCTAACTTTAGTGTATGACAGGATCTTTCAGCCATAATCCTGCAGCTTGGGTCAGACAGTGTTTGGAAGCTGAAAGTTAGTCTCTATGGTTTTCCCTGATTCTGTGCAGAAAGTGAAATAGGGAAGACCATAGAGACTAATTGACGGACCCAAGTTGTATGTATATGGCTTAATGACGCTGTCAATATAGTAAAGGTCAAGTTGAGGAAGGAGGATGTCTCAATTTCAGTCAGACCAGGACATGTATATCCCAATACTGACCTTATAGTAAAAGAAACCCAACCCTAGCCAGAGTCCTAATTTTAGAATAAAATAATGTAATTAAACAGGGGTAGGCAACCTTCAGCACTTCAGATGTTGTGGTCTACATCACCCATAGTGATAACAGCCATATCACCGGCAAAGTATCAGGGGAGATGTAGTCCACAGCATTTGGAGTGCCAAAGGTTTCTACCGCTGTAATAGAAAATAACAGAATTCAAAAAAATGGATGAGAAAATAATGCTTGCGTTCTAGGAAAATACATAAATCTCTAGTCTACCTTCAATCTTATCATAATACCTCAGGATACTTTATTGGTTTTAATTTCCCTTAAAGGACAACTGTCATTACATTCTTACTTCTCATTTCTTCTCACTTCTTTTTATTTTTTATTTTTCAAGTTTATTACATTTAATGAAACTTAACATTTTTTTAATATTATTAGACAATTTTACTTTTTTGTCTGGCTGAGCAGCCATGTTGGGTCAGGTTCTACTGTTATTTGACCGACTGCTGCAGGTTTGCAGAGGGCACAAGTCAGCAGAATCTTTTTTCTGTTTTTTTCTGTTAAAGGATCCAATTATTAAAGGGAAACTATAGTGCCAGGAAAATCCTAGATTTCCCCCTCCTTTGCGGCTCTCCCCCCTCGTGGGAGACCTAATTTGCATGCGCAGCAATGGCCGTGCTCAGATTAGGATTTTCCCATATGAAAGTATTATGCAACACAGGCAACCCCACACAACACCACTGGTAGCCTACCCCACACAATACACTACAAGCAACCTGCAAACGCACGGGCTCTTTCCCACACACACGTGAGCACAAACATACTCTCTCCCCTCATTTAACCCTGCCTCTCTTCTATCCTCTAGTGTCCGACTTATGAGAAACCAGACAAACACAGAACAAGGGTGTTATTAGAATCATTTGCACTGCGTTAAACAAACACAGGGCATTTGTCCTCATGTGATAGCTCTTCAGAAGGTCTCAGCAAAGGGGCTGCCTTGGATGGAACATCAAACTGCCCACTTTGGGGTGTGTGCTTGCTACTGATGTCCTCCTGTAGGGCTGTAATGAGTTAAAATATCACGGCCAAATAGTTTTTTTATCTCAGTCCAGCTCTGTGTATGTGCCTTTGTGTGTATTTACCAGCTGGTAAACCAAATGGGTCAAGAAAATCATTGAAATATGTCTTCCCTGCCTTTGTAGCCATAACACTGTGACAGAATATCTTCCAGTGATTAATGAGGTTAACTACATTTTCTATTGCCACTGTCTGAATTATCTGCGAGACCATGTAGTGGATCAAAGGGATTTGCTTAGCTGAGAAATTTCCAGGGAACAACACTAGTTCCTTCGTGGAATTCTTAAAAGAAAAGCAAAACTATTTTGAGAAAGTGCAAAAATGCATTCAACGCGGAAAAAAATGAGTCTCCATGGTTTAATACTGCGATTGATCTGTTAATTTCTGAATACTTTAAACAGAATATAATATTTCCATCTACAGATGTATTTGTAATGTCTTCTCTAACATAGTTCAAATCAATAGTGATCATACAAATTGGACAAATTTCTTACAAATCAGAAAAAATGAACCCACTGGAATTTAGGGATACCAAATTACCAAATAACTTGAATTAACCTGTGAAATTTTAGACTTTCCTTAGATTTGGGAACGTTTCCCACATTATATCAAGAACCCATCAAAATATCTGTGTATGTAAAATATGTATTTTTATCTAGCATATATTACATTTGGAAGTCCTTAAAGTGACACTGTCTTTTTTTTCAGTTTGCCTGTCCTTATACTCTTTGCATTTTAATGATCACTTGCCACTTGCATTTTTTTATATTTGTTACCTTTTATTTCTTGCACTGAATCTCTATACGCAAGCACCACAATTTTGTTTTCCTCTGCCCATGATGGCCCTTCTATGGGATTATTTTGATTGATGGATTGTGGGTAAATTAGCCTAGCCATTGCAAAACATCATGCTATATTACAATTTTAAACAAAAGTTAATAAAACAAAATTTAACATTGAAGGGGGGGCACAATAGTATTTGTTTTGTCACAGTGGGAGCAATTAGCATCTTCTGCAAATAATCCAAACATATAGGGTACAAACGGAAGATAAAGCAGGGCATAATATGGGTACTTAATTCTAACACTGTCTAGGTGATAACGTCTCTAGGTTTTTTCCAAATATAGCTTGTATAACCCCGTCTTCTCTTTATTATTTATTTATTTATTTATTTGATATTATGTGGGTTGTGTCCTTGGTAGGGAGTAAGTAGGGTTTTTTTTTCTCATCTTTTTTTTTAATTAATTTTTTATATAAAGAACTTTGGCAAGTGCTAGTTTAAGGACTTAAGTGTTAAGAAAATAATTTGGGTGCCAGGTCAAGACCCGTGGTAAGCCAGCAAAAAATTCAAGAAGAGTTTGGGTACTGACGTGGTAAAGTTATAATAATTATCCAAAATTCTTACATTGTAACACAGTGCTGTTTACCAGCTGAGAGACACACAGAACCAGACATACTACACAATCAACCTATCACTTTATCATTGAAAGGTGCCCACACATAAAATGTAAAAAAATATAATAAATGCAAATAAATAATAAAAAACAAATGCAGTTTGTGAATAAAAGGCTAGTGAAAATGTAAGGAATAATTGTGAATAGTATCAGAATACACAGATTGTATTGCATTTGACTAAACTAGTATAGTATTATATATAATAAAAACAGCACAACTTCTGTTTTAATTGTCTGCTCTGCATATTTTGGTTTATTTTTTATTTGTCCATTCAGATAAAAAGAAAAGGCCACTTCATATCCTTCATATTTTATTACGAAAAAAAAGGTAAAATGACATATCCTACTTATAGATATCAACGTAGCAAGGCAGATTTATGAAAATACCAGGAGTGTCTTTTTGTAGGCATTACACAGTTGTAGAGCTGTGTTGAACCTTTGTAATATACAGAGGTTTCTTAGATGCTCAAATTCTTTTGCAAATAAGCTGTGTTCTGTACTGGCGTTGAGCAATCCCTCTCTCCTTCTCTCTACTGGAATGTTAGAATGCACAGACAAATATTGTAATTTAACTTTGCTTACTGTGCGGGAGGAGGGAAGAGGGATCTGCTAGTTTAAGTTTACCTAACGTTAGAATTAGCAGACCTCCTGGTTAGAACAAAGATTTTCTAGTCAAATGTGTTTCTCTACTATTATAATTAGAAATTTTGAAGGTAAATTAAGTTTCATAACCCAAGTTTTGATTTCTGTTATTTTGCATGGGCTTGTAGTCATGAACCCAGGGTTGCCGGGTAGAGGTTCCTCTTGCTTGGATGGGGATTGTACAAGGGTCCTTGTTGTGTTCATAAAATATACAAATTTCATTTTCTTGACCTCTCGTTTTTATTTCTAAGGCAAAAAATGTGGCTTTTATTAGCAAACTCAATGTTACTAAATTTATCAGCTTTAACCCCTTAAGGACAAAACTTCTGTAATAAAAGGGAATCATGACATGTCACACATGTCATGTGTCCTTAAGGGGTTAAGGATGAACGGCTGAGTTGACCTCATCAGGAAATTAACCAGCCACTCCGGGTTATCGCATCTGTAGACTTATCCACCAAACCAGCTGTACATAATACACAATCAACTTACTTGTTACATGAATGAAAGCAATTAAAACCAATTTTGATCATACCCATCTTTACAAACCCATTAACTGGTAATTTATATACCTGTTTTCATCAAATTATAGAAGCTTCACATAACAACATATTTTTTTACTAGACAATTTAATTATTAACATTAGTTTTATTTGCCTATTTTCAAAAGAGAACTATGAACACTGATCATATATTGTGTTTGTGATAGACTTTGTGAATAAAAAGCATGGCTAAATTATTGTATTATAACATCAGAAATGGATAAATTGTGCATGTGCATTTTTTTTTTTTTTTTTAAATTAAATTGCTTATTCCTTCCCATCCCTCTATCAAATAGACTTACACTTTCTTTCCTCTTGTTCGGTGCCGACAGATGTTCAATTATTGTTGTATCCTTGTTCTGTCTGAGATAAATGCGGTTCATGTCTTTTGGGAATTGTTAAATCTAGTCTCATTAGACTGAAGAATAGATGTGATAGTGTGAAGAAGCAATATGACTCACTTCTCACCCCGGCTTTCAGACATAACTTTTATTTTGTTGTTTTTTTGTACAATATATATATTTTAATATTCCGCAGAAAACTACTATATTTTTATTGCTTGTTTTGTGATCAGATTACAATATATATTCTTTATATGGGGTTTTTAAATTAGAAGACTATCAGATTGTGCTTTATTAAAAGAATTCACTAGCTTTTCAGTCAAGAGATAGTGGTTGGGATATATCGTCTGCAAAATCAGTATTATCTGTATTTAACCGCAGGAAATTGTAAATCCCATCTGAAAGGACATGAACCTGGATTAAATTAGTAATCCACCCTGAATGTGTATAATGTGTAATGTGACCTACATATACAAGTAAAGAACTCTAATCAAAGATGTTGAAAATCTCAGAAGACATGGCTAGTCTCTAAGCATAGTGTGGGAACAAAGGGTTCTCGCATATCTCAAGGTGAGGATAAAGTATACTTTCTAAAAACTTTGCTTGATATGCAATTTTAATGTAGATGCTAATCTTATGCCTTTAGTGTTCCACCCACGTGAAAGGTATCTTATTATTTAAAATCTTAAGACAAGCTTCCAAATTATAGGCTATAAAGATAATAATCAATTATATTTACAAGTCCAATATGTATTTGGGTGGTAGAACAGCAACTAATGGTGATTACAAAATTCACGTTAATGAATGATCAACTTGATGAATAACTGATGGGATTGACATCTAGCTCCTGCACATCACTAAGCAAGCAAGAGCCTCGGTGCCCATTGCAGACCTAGGTATCGAGTGAAACACTTTGTTTCATCATCGAGGAACAGTGCCTGGTTACTTCTGGCATCAAAACTACTACAGTGAGCTCGGAGTAACCTTTTAAGGACAAACGATATATTATGCCATTATCATAATAGAAACATAGAAACAAAGAAACATAGAATGTGACGGCAGATAAGAACTATTCGGCCCATCTAGTCTGCCCAATTTTCTAAATACTTTCATTAGCCTTATGCCTATCCCACACATGCTTAAACTCCTTTACTGTGTTAACCTCTACCACGTCAGCTGGAAGGCTATTCCATGCATCCACTACCCTCTCAGTAAAGTAATACTTCCTGATATTATTTTTAAACCTTTGTCCCTCTAATTTAAGACTATGTCCTCTTGTTGTAGTAGTTTTTCTTCTTTTAAATATAGTCTCCTCCTTTACTGTGTTGATTTCCTTTATGTATTTAAATGTTTCTATCATATCCCCCCGTCTTGTCTTTCCTCCAAGCTATACATGTTAAGATCCTTTAACCTTTCCTGGTAAGTTTTATCCTGCAATCCATGAACCAGTTTAGTAGCCCTTCTCTGAACTCTCCCTAAAGTATCAATATCCTTCTGAAGATACGGTCTCCAGTACTGCGTACAATACTCCAAGTGAGGTCTCACCAGTGTTCTGTACAATGGCATGAGCACTTCCCTCTTTCTACTGCTAATACCTCTCCCTATACAACCAAGCATTCTGCTAGCATTTCCTGCTGCTCTATTACATTGTCATCAGAAATAATCACCCCTAAATCCCTTTCCTCAGATGTTGAGGTTAGGACTCTTTCAAATATTCTGTACTCTGCCCTCGGGTTTTTACGTCCAAGATGCATTATCCACATTAAATGTCAGTTGCCACAACTCTGACCATTTTTCTAGTTTACCTAAATCATTTGCCATTTGGCTTATCCCTCCTGGAACATCAACCCTGTTACACATCTTAGTATCATCAGCAAAAAGACATACCTTACCATCAAGACCTTTTGCAATATCACTAATAAAAATATTAAAGAGAATGGGTCCAAGTACAGATCCCTGAGGTACCCCACTGGTGACAAGCCCAAGCTTCGAATATACTCCACTGACTACAACCCTCTGTTGCCTGTCACTCAGCCACTGCCTTACTCATTCACCAGTATTGGAATCCAAACTTAAAGATTGCAGTTTATTGATAAGCCTTCTATCTGCAACAGTGTCAAAAGCCTTACTGAAATCTAGGTAAGCAATATCTACTGCACCACCCTGATCTATAATTTTAGTTACCCAATCAAAAAAATCAATAAGATTAGTTTGGCATGATCTCCCTGAAGTAAACTCATGTTGTCTCTGATCTTGAAATCCATGTGTTTTTAGATGTTCATCAATCCTATCCTTTAACATGGTTTCCATCACTTTCCCCACTACTGAAGTAAGGCTTACTGGCCTATAGTTGCCCGACTCCTCCCTATTACCTTTCTTGTAAATGGGCACAACATTCGCTAACTTCCAATCTTCTGGGACTACTCCTGTTAACAATGATTGGTTAAATAAATCTGCTAATGGTTTTGCTAGTACACCACTAAGCTCTTTTAATAGCTTTGGGTGTATTCCATCAGGTCCCATTGACTTATTTGTCTTTACTTTTGACAGTTGAAATAGAACCTCTTCCTCTGTAAACTCACGTGTAATAAATGACTCATTTATCCTTTTTCTCAACTGAGGTCCCTTTTCTTCATTTTCATCTGTAAATATATTGTATTTTCATATATATATATATATATATATATATATATATATATATATATATATAGCCCCACCACCAAGTAAGACTTTCCCCTGTGATATAATATTTAAAGGCTGGTTTGTTATGAAAAAATAATTCCATCATTCGTCTTTTAGGGGTAAAGATTGTTTTGTTCTTCTTTGATCAATAAGGTAAAATCAATACAAAGAATGAAACCAATTGAATATATTATTATTTTTTTTTTAAATACGAATGTCAAACCCATGTGTAAAGTTTAGAAAACAGTGTAAACCAGGCTGGATTTACATGCCAAGTCCCTGTAGGCACAAAATTATAAGGTGCCTCCTGCTTCTAAAAAAATTATAATGGCAAACAGTTTGCTTACTTTATTAAGTGGACATTGCATGCAAGAAAGTCTAAAAATGATAAGTTGATATTTGACAACTGCATATATATGCATACTGATCAGCCACAACATTAAAAGCATCTGTCTAATATTGGGTAGGTCCCACTGGGGCTGTCAAAACAGCTCTGATGTGTCGAAGCATGGACTCCACAAGACTTGTGAACGTGTCCTGTGGTATCTGGCACCAAGACATTAGCAGGTTATGAGGTGGGGCTGCAGGTTATGAGGTGGGACTTCCATGGATAGGATTTGTTGTTCCAGCACATCCCACCGATGCTCAATCAGATTGAGAGCTGGGAAATTTAGAGCCCCATACAACACCTTGATGCAGCTTGGGAGCCTGAGGACATGAGGCTGCAGAGCGGAAGGTCTGACACATCCAGATGAAAGCCAAGACACATAATATATCCTGCTGCCATCTCTTCCCCAGGTAAACAACACACCCACACACGGCCATCCACCTGATCTAAAAGAAAATGTGATTCATCAGACCTGGAAACCTTCTTCAGTTGATCTTTAGTCCAGTTCTGATGCTCATGTTCTCATTGAAGATGCTTTCAGCGATGGACAAGGGTCATCATGGGCACACTGGCCGGTCTGTGGCTACGCAGCCCCATATGCAGCAAACTGTGTTCTAACACCTTTCTACCATGACCAGCATCCATTTTTTTTTAGCAACCAGAGCTACTTTGGCTCTTCTGGGCTAGCCTTCTCCTCACATGTATGAGTGAATCTTGGGCACCCATGACCCAAATGCTGGTTCACCGGTTGTCTTTACTTGAGTCCCTTTTGGTAGGCACTGAACAATGTAAACTACCCTCAAGACTTGCCATTTTGGAGGTTCTCTGACCGAGCCATCTAGCACTCACTCTTTTCAAAGTCACTCAGATCTTTTCTGCCTAATATATCCCACTCCTTGACCTGTGCCATTATAACGATGTAATCAATGGTATTCACTTCACTTATAAGCTTTAATGGTGTGGCTTATCATTGTATGTCCACGTGTATTGTGTTTGAATCTGTGAGTATAGTGAGTTTATTGAAGTGGGTAAATGCGTGCAGGGTTAAAGATAATATTAGAAGTGGTTATGGTAAAGTGAGGTTTAAGGTTTGAGAGAAGTTGGTTATAGTTCAATGTTAAGAGGCTTGGACGATTGAATACGGTTATAGTTCTTGGATAATGTATTTATAGGATTATTGAGTTTAGGGTTAGAGTCGGGTTTAATTTAGTATTTTGTTACATTTGTTCAGTTTTTAAAAGTAATTAAAACTAGGATTGAGGTAAAGGTTTTTTTTTTAAACTTTAGACTTCGAATGCTCAAATTAGGGACAAAGAAAATGGTTTTGTGTTACATTCAGGGTTAGGAAAAAGGGGTGTTTTGAAGAGGTTATTTGCAAACCACTTATGATTGATTGTTGAACTGTAGCAGCTTTTATCTAGGGTGCATCACCCAGTCAAGTCATTTCCTGTGTAAGAGACAGTAAAAGATGGGAAGTGATCCCTTCCACTTATTGTCCAGCCTGAATCACAGACACTGGAGGGGCTGGGACAGCACTGAGTTTTACACTCTCTATAACTGTTCCTGATTCCTGTCAAAGTATCCTAGATGGGTATTATACCACTCATGCTTCATACATAGAACGGTCTGCTCGCTATACTGTAAGTACGTTTTTAACTATTATTTCTGCACTTACCCAAACAGAGAAACCTATAGGTTTTTTCCCTTTTGTCCAATATGGTCCACCTCACTACTACTCTGCTGTGGAAAATTACCAGAGAGATATCCTACAAATGGGGATCTAAATCACTGTACTCTGAATATACTGGAGCTGGATTGAGCTCCATTACACGTGAGTTGGCAATTAAGGCTTAATGTGTTGTGTGTACCTCATTTGAGCTTACACAGTGCATCGTTTTTCCTGTTTTTCTTTCATATGTTGTCATGAAGAGATGTCACAAGCAGGAACACTGCATGGAAACCTGTGATAAGTAGGAGCACAATTTTGGGACTGTATTTATATAGAGTTGAAATTAAAATTATTCAACCCCCATTGAAAATCAGGTTTATTGTCAAATTTTACAGACTTCCAGCTGTTTGCAATGAGCAAATCAACCAAAAGCAATTAAAACAGCTCAGCACAACAAATGCTTCAAGTGGTGTCCTCAAATTCTACTGAAATTCAACTGGAAATGTAACATATAATGACTTCTGAATTTAGGGAAACCACTTCAAGCATTCATATTTGTCTCTAGTGAATTTTAGGGGTTTTGTAGGGAATACCCCACCCTAAGGTGCGCTGCCTTTAATTTGTTTGGCTGCTTAGCGCTGCTCACCCTTCCCTTTCTGTGTTTTTTTTACAAAAATGTCTTAGAGTGCAGAGTTAAAAGGACAAGGACAATGCACCCCGACCACTTCATCGATGACACAGAGGTTTATCCAGGCGCTGGGCTTATGAATGGATAAATTTGTCCAATGATTCCATAAATCATGTTTATTTCTAGAATTACCACTAGGACTCCAGGCTCTCGTTTGCGGATCAACATGATGAGTTAAATGTCACAATTTGCCCAGCTACCTGTAAGGCACTAAAGAGTTTATTCACTAATCTGTGAATTGTCATAAACTGAAACCTAAATTGCCCAGATGTAACTACAATAAGATTCTATAAGAGGCAGGATTGATCCAAATTGACTTTATTGTCCTGTGTTTTGCAGTTTGATTTTTATTTCACTACACTTCACTCTTTAGTGAATAAACTATTTGTTAGAGGATACATCGTAAGAACATGTGAATTATGACCACTTTTTAGGGGCACACCAAGCACCATAACCACAACAGTCCATAATAGTAGTTATGGTGCTATCAAGCCACTGGTTTCCTCTGCATCATCCCTCAGTTCTGTGTCAAACCATATCCATGTGTCTGGTTGTCCATGTCCTAATCTAAGATAAGCATGTGTCTTTTACAGAGGTTTCACTCCCACATTAATATCATACATACTAGGACTGCACTGATTGGCTGAAAGCACCATATGATGTACTAAGTCAATGAACGGTGGCAAGAGTTGGACACAGTTGTTATTATTAGTTTGGATGTGTAACTTGCAGTAATATGCAGTGCAAACGGCTGGCATGCCTCTCCCGTGGGCTATCCATTTGGGTCCAACTACTGGAAAATGCTTTGACACAGAAACTGCAATAGTGATCAGGTCATTAGACTGATTCTATAATTCAAACATAATATTTAATGAACATTCGGTCTGTCATATAGATAGACAGACAGACAGACAGATATATAAAACAATTACGGATGAATGATAGATATATAGAGATAGATACAATAGATAGATAGATAATACAATTATGGCTGGATGATAGATTTATAGAGATAGATAGATAGATTGTAAGAAAACACACATATTTCAATCAATGCTAATGCTTAAGCAAACCTCTAATAATGTTAATTAAATCACACTGCTAATGTAACAATTTCCTTTTTCTAACGGCTATAACGAGAATCCCTTAACCCTACACAGGGTGAGATAGATTTTCTGCCACATATTTCCAAGATCACTGTTGCAGAACTCGCCAAACTACATAGCAAGCCAAATTTATGTGCAAGCTGAAACTATTTCAATGCTAATGTAGCGCCACAAGAAAAAAAAAAAAAAAAACCTACTTTAATTAGAATCTAAGATGCTTCTGTAAGCTCAGATCTAATTAACTGCCAAGTCTAGAAAACGGGGCAAAGGAGATCATAAAAAGAAATCACACATAATCTATGCTAAAACGATGCCCATTCCTAAAGTCTAATTAATCAGTTCCTCAATAAAAGTGCCGAAATTTAATGTAATGACTCAAATGGCTTTGGTGCCATTAAGAGCCCCCGATTATGTTGAATATGTTGTATTAATGACAAGGGATCTGCTGTGTTGGTATTAAACAGAGACAAGTTTAGTCACTTAGCATTGTAGATGTTTCTCGCACTATTTCCCATGATGCTTGACCAGTTTTACTGAATATAACAGAAACATGGACCATAAAATAGAGCTGCCGTATTTTCCACGGCGTCATGTTGTGTATGAGAGTCTGCCCGGCAGTATGTAAAGTACCCATGCTGCCGGAAGAATTCAATTAAATTATCACACTTTGGTTCCTAATTCCCACTTTAACTGTCATAATTAGCTAACTTAGACCTTAATAGTTTTGGATAAGATTTTCAAATGATTTTATAATATTTGTGGATAAACTTTTCAAATATTTTTTTCAAAATAGTAAAATATATATATAAAAAAATTATATATAAAACCTAGATTACATATTTATATATATATATATATATATATATATATATATATATAAAACTCTTCCTAAAACCTGACAAAACTGTCACAATGATCTTTTGGAACAGTACCTAATTTACACAAATTACACAATTCCCACCTAGCCATCAAAACAAATTCAAATAGCACACTGACCGCAGTCCACTCTTTCAAATACTTGGGCATGTTGTTAGACCACAATCTTTCTTTTGGCCTCCACATAGAAAAACTTGCATCTAAACTTTATCCAAAACTAGGTGCCCTGTACAGAAACAAATACTGCCTAAGCCCTACAGTAAAGGAAAAGATTGGACAGCAAATGTTGATGCCAATCATTGATTATGAGGATGTAGTATATGCACCTGCACTGCAAACCCACCTTAATAAACTCAACACATTGTATAACTCGTTCTGCTGACTTGTGCTACATTGTAATTACAGGACCCACCATTGTGATATGCTAAAAGAACTAAACTGGCTGTCGCTGGAATCCAGACGCACCCTTCATCTTTCCAGCCCTGTGTTTAAGAGCTTTTCTGGGAAGCTCCCACCCTAACCGAGCAGAATGCTCTCCTCGGCTGTTCCCACTTCCTATAACCTCCGATCCTGTACAAGCACTTTATTTAGTCTACCTCAATACAAAAAGAATGCAGCCCGATCCTCCTTTTCCTACAGAGCACCGCAATTATGGAATGACCTCCCACACATTTTCAAATCTTCCCCAAGCCTAAAGTCCATTAAGAGATCCCTCTCTACATACCTCAAAACAGAATGCACGTGTCATGGTTGATTATATATTTCCTATCTGTTCTATGTTACATTTTGTATTTATTGTGTATTGATATTGTTTTTGTATTTTATTGTACCCTAATGTAACAATGCAATGTTTTGTGGACCCAGGACATACTTGAAAATGAGAGAAATCTCAACGTATCTTTCCTGGTAAAATATTTTATAAATAAATAAAATATTCAAATATAGATCGTAGGTATCCAAAAATATCTCAATGAATCAAAAATATCAAAATATTAAAAAAATTTAAATATTTGTCCTGATATTAAATTATTTGAAAAGCTTATCCAACACTATTAAATTGAGGCCTTAATACTTAATTTCCCAAAAAGTTAATTTTTTCATAATCAGGTTTTTTTCACTAATAATTCTATGTCCAAATTGTGGTGAACTGAAACTTGGTTACCATCATTTAAGATAAAATAGCTTAAGCTGTAAACACAGGATTCATTACATACAATAGGTTGTACTCTCTTATTTGTGGGAGCCAGGGAAACCCGAGCACCATTGCTACTGCAGTGCTTTGAAGTGGCTATTGTGCTTGGAGGGCTGAAATAATTACTGCTTCATTGGCGTGTGTTAAACTGTAATTCAATGCACTCATCAAACCAAGTACTAAAGTCAAAGAATTGCCAGATTATAATTCTATTTAGTGCTGTCTACGTCAAACATCTGCTTTAGAAATGCATCCTCTTGTAGTAAATGACAGTTTTCGGTTGGTATATGGTTGTGCATTAGATAACAATAAGGAATCTCAGGGTGTATCTATTAATGGAACTTGTGTTCCCAATGCTTTTGTTAAGTTTTTGTCAAAATTTACAGACTTTCAGCTGTTTGTAATGAACAAATCAATCAAAAGCAATTTAAATCGCTCAACACAACGAATGCTTTAAGTGGTTTCCCCAAATTCAACTAAAACGTATTACTTCTCCAGTCTCAAAATTATTCAACCCCTTAATGGCAAGCATCTTTGCTGCTTAGTAGAGAACACTTTTATGACCTGCTGAAAATGAGATGCATAGTCAGACACCAGCTCCTGGCAGCGTTCCTGAGAAATCTTAGCCCATTACTCATGAGCAATGGCCTCCAGTTCAGTAATATTCCTGGGTTTGCATTCTTCAACTGCCTTCTTTAAATCCCAGCAGATATTTTTTTATGGGGTTCAAGTCAGGTAACCGTGATGGTAACTAATGAATTTTCCAGGACTTCTTCTGCAACCAAGCCTTGGTGGAATTTGCTGTATGCTTGAGATCATTGTCTTGTTGCAAGGTCCAATGACGCCAATGCTTCAGCTTCCTCAAAGATGACATAATGTTTTCTTGTAGGATTTCCTGTTACTTCATTGAATCCATTTTGCCTTCAACATGCTGCAACTTTCCAGTGTCAGAAGATGCAAAGCAGCCCCAGACCATCACCGGGCCACCACCATGCTTAACTGTAGGCAGAGTGTTCTTTTCAGCATATGCTTTATTTTTCTTCCTTCAGATATACCGCTGACGCATTGGGCCAAAAAGTTCCAGTTTCGATTCATTGTTCCACAGTTCAGAACCCGATAAATTATTTATATGATTTTGAGCATATTAGATACGACTTTCCTTGTGTTTTTTGGTCAGTAGTGGTGTCTTGGAGTTCTGGCATGGCAACCTTCTCCGTTTAGTATGTGCCTTACTGTGCTCACTGAAACTTCAGTGTTTGTTGCCACCAAGTCTCCTTGCAGGTCTTTTGCAGTCACTTGAGAGGTTTTATTGCCTTCGCAGAAATATGGTTGCATTGATAGCTTTTTCTGTCATGTCCAGGTGATGTAATCTCTGCATCTTCAACTTTGAAATTGCAAACTGTGCTTCCAACTGTGTCTCTAGGAACATTCAGTGCACTTGCTATCTTTTTGTATCTTGTTCCTTGTTTGTGAATTATGGTGATCTCTTCTCGTAACTTTGTGGACCATTCTTTTGACTTATTTTGCCATGTTTCTAACATGCAGTCAAACGTGACACTCAACAAACCACTAGTCAGTTCAAGTATTTCAAGTGTTGGAGCTCAAGCACACCTGGTGCAACTAATGAAGCCCTTTATTAGTTGTATCAGGTGTGCTTGAGACAACACCTGTTTTGCATATTTGTGCTGTTGTGAGGGATTCTATTCAGGGGGTTGAATCATTTTGAGACTAGAGAAGTCATAAGTTGCATTTTCAGTTGACTTTTGGGAAACCACTTGAAGCATTCCTTGTGTTAAGCTATTTTAATTGCTTTTGTTTGATTGTTAATTGCAAATAGCTGATAGTCTGTACATTTTGACAATACACCTGATTTTCAATTGGGGTTGAATAATTCTGACTACAACTGTATGCACATTCATACTGTATGTTTGTTTGTATGTATGTGTCTATGTGTGTGTATGTTTATTGTGTGTGTCACATTAATATAACTCATACTGAGCAAATGTAACTGTAAAGTAATGCTTGCATTTTAGTGCAGTTTCTATGAAAACTCACATTTAGATTACTTGAAATATATACGTAGAAATAGTTATAGAATTTACCTTTTATTACGTTCACTGCCCCAGGAAGGCTGCGGATTATTACAGGCAGAGTTAGCAGGTTATTTATCTCAATAACTGAACATGTTCTGGTTCTTGCTTTCAAATCTCTGCATAATGCTGCTCCCACCTATCTATCCTCCCTTATACACAAGTATGTCCCGTCTAGGCCCTTACAATCTGCTGAAGCCTTACGTCTATCTTCTGTCAGTACTCCCACCTCTGATGCTCGCCTTCAAGATTTCTTCCTGTGGAACTCGCTTCCCTCCTCCGTTAGATGCTCACCCAGTCTCCACTCCTTCAAAAAATCGTTAAAAACCCACTTCTTCATAAAAGCGTATCAATTAAACTGTTAAGAGCTCCTGACTGTTTCCTCTTCTGCAACTGTAACTAGTCTAATACTATCCTTACCTTTTTGTGTCATTTTACCCCACTCCCTCTAGCATGTAAGCTCATTGAGCAGGGCCCTCAACCCCTCTGTTCCTGTGTGTCCAACTTGTTTGGTTACAACTACATGTCTGTTCATCCACCAATTGTAAAGCGCTGCGGAATTTGACGGCGCTCTATAAATATCATAATAATAATAACTGACCAGAGATGGATTTCTAATTTTAGAAACATAGAAACATAGAAACATAGAAACATAGAATGTGACGGCAGATAAGAACCATTCGGCCCATCTAGTCTGCCCAATTTTCTAAATACTTTCATTAGTCCCTAGCCTTATCTTATAGTTATGATAGCCTTATGCCTATCCCACTGTTACTGTGTTAACCTCTACCACTTCAGCTGGAAGGCTATTCCATGCATCCACTACCCTCTCAGTAAAGTAATAATTCTATTTGATTTACTGAAAGCATCAAATGGCCAATCTGAATACACATTTCATCCCAAATGGGTTTGTTTGTTCTTTCATGTATCTGTTTCCAGTTCTTACTATTGTCTGCTGTAGCTGAAAAGTGAGGACCCTTACAGTAAAATACACAGGAGGTAGCCTGGATTTCCGGAACTTTGACATACAAGGTTTCACTTGACTTTTAAAGGATTATTATTTTGATATTATTATTAATAGCATTTATATTGTGCCAACATTATATAGCTTTTTACAATTTAAATGGGGGACATAGCAGACTAAATCAAGAAAAAAAAAACACGTTAAACACAAAACAAGGTTATTGAGGGCCCTGTTTTAACAAGCTTACAATAAAAAAACATTTGTATCAGTGCAATACTGACACATTACAGTGGAATATATTTTCTATGTGTAATTACAATGCATATGAACTTACCACCTCCCATCAACTGAGGACGAATGTTAAGATAGACACTTTAATGTTATCGGAGTTAGCCTCTATCCCAGCATTTAGTTAGACATAAAATACAACCCTAGCAGCCCGATTAACATGTGATGGGAAAGCAAAGAATTACATTATCCAGTGAATTCCACTTCCATTACGCACAACACAAACACATAGGATAATAAACAGGCATATTACATACAATTTAGGTGATAGCAATAAGGATTAATACACTACCAATGCAAATATACAAAATAAACACTATAAGACAATTACTAGACATAGTAACATCTGCAATAAGAAAAAGAATAATTAAATAAACGTCAAGGAACACTGAGGGCGCTTTAACAACTTCATATCTTCTTTCACTAAATAGAAGGCTTGGGACCTTTTTCCCAGCTTGCAATCTGTATAATACCATGAGCTGTGCCGTCACAAATGGCCATAGAGAATAATTGAATACAATGATTTTCTGTGGAAGAATCATAGGTGCATTTCTGCAAGCACCGCACATGTGCCTATGTTCCGCTATGCTCCTCTATGTTCAACTCGAGAAAGAGGTCGGGGCAGTGTCGAGGGAGACTCGGCGCTATAGAACAGTTAAGTAATTTGTTTTATTTTAATTTTTTCAATTATTTATTTTATTTTACACAGGTTGGGACCTAATGGACAAGGGGCCTCAGGTTTGTAGCATTAGGAATACAGACAGAAGAAACTGGAACTATGGATATTATTGTGCTGGAGACTGGACTTCCTGGATGAAAGGAGCAGGAATTCACTGGGATACCTCTGGAAGTTAGATGGCACATCAGCTTGTTAGTCAATGGGTGGATATTTATCTCTACTGAGCTTAAAATACCAGCATGTCCACGCTGAACAAGAGATGCAGCAAAAACAGGTGAAAGTTTCAGCCTCTACTGGGCCTCGTCAGCGAGATATAGCAGATACCACTCTGGGCAGAGTGTGCAAGTGATTTACGCCTGAATTGTCAATTAACTTAAAGAGATTGTAGGAAAATACAAACAGAAGACAGAAGATTTGAGAACATTGAGAACTGGCGAAACCTTGTAGCTTGTGCTTGGTTTAGTCCCTGACTGATCTCTGATAATTTCTATCTCATACGTGCCAATACATAGAGAACCTAATCAGACTGATCCCACCAAGTGAGCCAGTCCAGGACCAACATGTCTAGGTAGATATCACCTACATGTGACTAGAAATGCCCTAAACAAAGCTGAAATAATTGTCTTTTTTGAGCAAATATACAGCAAGTTAAGCAGAGGATACGATATCTGAAGATAAGGTATTTTGTTTAGAGGATTTTCTGTCACTTTAATTTATTGCTAAATCTATTATATTCAGATGAGAGTGATTTATTACCAGAACGGAAGCTGATTAGTAATCATTGCTCTTTTCTTTCTGCATCATTCTTAGTGAACCTCTCTTATTTTTCAGTTCATATCCTTCTATACAATTTTTTTTTTAAGCTTCGCATTGCTTTGTCCCTGTGCCATCACTCATCTATAAATGCAATGTTAACAGCAAATTAAGGAAAATTACTGTTTGCTTAATTGCTGTTTGCTAAATTGACAGAAAATTATTTTTCTTTTACCGTTGACATCTCGCAGAGACACAAGTAAGCTACAAAATTCAAAAACAACTTTCTACTTCATTTTAGCTGTCAGTCTGCATGAAATTATACAGGGATACTCTAGACAGAGCGAACGATTTAATTACTATTTTATGTTTTTAAAACTTTCATATTAAAAAAAAAAATTAAATTTACTTAAAAAATTAAGGGATGCCAATAAAAATCTACATTTTATCAGCTACAAAACTGTCTGATCAACCCAAATGAGCTTACAATCTACATAGGGGGATATATATGTTAAGTGTTTTGCTCAAGCGAACTTACTGTTAATTTAGAAATATCTATCTGTCTAAAGGTCAATGTCTATTCTACCTGTAAACAAATTAGATTTCTTCAATTTAAGGAAAATGAAAAATACACCCTCAATTGCATAGCCAGAAATTAAAATATGATGGTAGCTGTTCTAGACTTTGAAAGTTTATACTATTTTTTAAAACTATGGGCTATAAAACTATGTGTAGTAATTAGATACAATGATGCAAAACACTGTCAAATTTCTTCAGTCTCAGTCCAAACCAGTTTATGTACATTATACATCGAGATATTCCCTCCTCATCGTGTCATAAACAGAGGCTGTTTATGAAATAATGGATGTAATAAATAGTCAGTATTACTAAATATAAAATACAAAATCTTATGGGAATTAGATCTACCAAAAACATGTAATGCAATATGGGTCAAACGTCAGTCCTTAATGGTCATAAACACATTTAGGGGATGATTTGGTAACGGAACAGCTAGACTGAGTCACACCTGAGTAGGACGATTATCCCCCCAATTTCAGCTAATTGTATATATGGATGTTTAGGAAATCTAAGATGTTATTTTTACAAACACACAAAACAACAAATAACAAATGGTGCTTCAAAAATATACAAACACATTTCTTATAAAATGTGATAGCCCCTATGAATACACTCCATTAAATAAAGAACAAATATAGATGCAGATTATATACAGATTTACACTATGTATCTCTCTCAGTTTTGTTTGTCTTTGAGCTAAAGTGGAGGATACACAGGTCCCTACAGTTTTAAACAACTTATTTATTGTAAGTGTTTTCATTTTTCACTATATGGACTTTGGCAGAGGTACTGCACAATATTAGGACTATACCAGGTTTTGCACAAGGTCACTTTAGTGATTCATGTGCGCTTTGACGGTTTTAAAGAAAGCAAGTGTGTGTACACCTTTTTAAAATTTATGTTAGTCTGAAGGACACAGCGCACCTATATTTATTCTTTAGTTATTTTTACAAACCAGAGGAGACTTAGAAATCCTCCTAGTTACAATGGAATGTATTTCAACTTCCAACCTGTTAATGCCTGTTTGCCATGTTAATGCCCCTCCAACAATTCTGCATGCTTAGTGGACTTTGATATTTGAATAATAATAAATTCATGGAACAATATCATCACAATTACTGTCTAGTAACACATCTAGTGACAGTCACCTTTCGGGAAGCATTGGATTGGCTGAGATCATTTGATTATCTCAGCCATGGAAACTGTCATGAAGTGGCAGGAAAGTTGTGTTTAACCACCATTTCACTACTCTGACAGGGTGGTCCGGAGACCTAAATACTGGGTTTAATGCATAGTGTTAGAAATACATGTTTGCATTCCTGACACTATAGGGTTCCTTTAACCCCTTAAGGACCAAACTTCTGGAATAAAAGGGAATCATGACATGTCACACATGTCATGTGTCCTTAAGGGGTTAAATAAGAATATTGTAAAGCGCTACGGAATCTGTTGGCGCTATATAAATGGCAATAATAATAATAATAATTAGTAATCCATAATTCCTATGCCCAGGATATTTGCAGCTGTAATACAGACTGGTTCTCCTAAAAAGGCGCATACAATTGGTAGTTTCAGAATCTACGTCTACCTAAAACTACTAATTTAGGATCTTAAAGGTCCAAACTGGACATCCATATACAGTGTATTAGGTGCATTTGGTAGATAGGTTACACTTACTAATGTTGGAAAGAATTTCTTTAAAAAAACCTTCACTCATCAGAAATAAACATAATCTGGGGGATTTGCCTTTTTTTTGCCCTTTCCATCTAACCTGACATGTTTCCCTTTATTGCTCCATAGAAACCCTCACTGTGGCCATGAAGCACTCCTCAGTGGTGCTTTTGAAAGTAAGATGATTTGTGTGCGTCATTTCTTCATCTGGACTGAGAAAGCTGCAAAGCGACAAATGCAGGAACTTCAAATGTTAGTTTTTTTTTGTATCTCAAAAAAACAAATCAGCAAGCAGAGGAGGCTCGGTAGGTAACATTCTAAACGTCGCCATAACATTGAGAGGGATGACAGTCAATGTTTAATTTAGGAAATTTGGTCTCTCGTCTTTAAAATAGAAATAAATCAAAATGCTGTTTTGGTACATAGAAACCGGTTCATTATTATTTTTTTTTAAAAAGGAAAAAAAAAAACCCTACCTAAATTACAATATTTTTTTTTTTTTTTTATATATAGCTTTGACATATTCTACAGCACCGTACAATAGGTAAAAACAAGTAAAAATTTATTGTAACATTTTATTGGGAAAAGTAGATGAAGTGGGCCCTGCCCCCAAAAAAGCTTACAATCTAAAAGGATGAGTGACAAATCTTTAGAGGAAAATGGGCGAATAAAATGTTCTGTATACACCTTAAATTATGGAAGGTAAGAAGCAAAGTGGATGGGAGACGACAGAGGAAGGTTAAAAGGGATAATGTGTTAAGGAGAGAACTGGTAGGCTTCTCTTTGGAAGTATGTTTTTAGGGATTAATTGAAGGACTACATAGACGGGGCAATCAAACATGGTATCATGGGGCATTACATAAAGAATGGGCAACCATTCCCTCCTAAATGAACATGGTTTAAAACCCTGTCCTACCCTTCTTCCAAACACACAACTCTTACTGCTCCAAAAGTTTGGGTATGTCCAACTGACCCACTTTATCTTATCCACTAAGGACCTACTCACAGGTAATAGGGAATTGTCCAAATTTGAAGCCATATATTCCTCAGGTATACTTAATACCAAACAGTTATCAACCTTCTACAAACTCCCCATCAGAAACCGACACACGTCCTACCCAAATTCACCAAGGCTTGGGAAGATGAGCTGTCCATGGCCCTAACTAGGGAGAAGGACAAACAGCTTTCTTTAAAATATTCCACTCTTCTCTATGCCACACATGAAGGCAGCTACGAAAGGATCTCCAGGTGGCACCTCACACCCTCCCAAATACAACATTTCTTTGCTAATGCCTCCAAAAAGTGCTGGCGTTGTGACCAAGCCGGAGGCAATCTGGGCCTCATATGGTGGACGTGCCCATTGATACAAACTTACTGGGACAGGATGGGCTCATACATTCACATCATCACAAACACTCTGCTTCCCAAAAACACCCAAAACACTTGTATTCCTATTTCTGCCCAGCTCTATACCCACTCCCACACAAGCCTTGATCAATCACCTCCTCATGGAGGCAAACTTGCTTATCCCCCTCCATTGAAAGAAACCACCTATTCCCCCAATCAGAGACTGGATCCAGAAGGTAGAGCTTCTAAGGTCGATGGAAGAACTCACATGCTCATTCACGCAAAAATATGCAGTCTATCAATATGGACCCCTTGGATAGAATTACTTATGCACAACCTATTCCTGTTGCCCCCATCTACTGTCTCCCATCCTTCCTCTTTCTTCTCTCCCAACACGCCAACACGGCTAGACAGACAAGACACAACCTCTCCGGAGACACTGCGATTCCCTGAAAACTGGCGAAGGGCTTGTCAACTGACAACTCCCACCCCCTGAAACACATGCAATACTTTGTAGAACGCGCCTAAAAGCTAACAATCTAGGAGTAGACATAACCGTTGGGAAAAAAAAGGACTCAGGCTAAAACTAGTTATTGGTAACACACACTTTTTTTCGGTTCCAAATTACTTTTCTTTATGTTTCATATTACTTTTGTCATGAAAGATCCATGATACTTCTGACATCTAGGAGAAAGCTCTATAAACCCAAAGTGCAAGGAAAAAACACTCCTATGGCAACTGACCATGGTCCACACCAGCTCTGTACACCTCTGGAATATTACCGAGGGCCAGAGACACAGGCAATCTAACCTAATCAAAGAACAAGTCTGAAAACTCGGATCACCTCACACACAACACAGACATACACTCTGCAACTCAGACACTTGATGCTCACACAACACAACAGCTGAACCTAAAGACTAAATAATATGTTTACCCCATTGCCGCCACAACCTAGGCTTCATGCTAGTTACACTTGATCAAATCCTTAACCTACCCGTAGAGCCAGGCAGGAGCTCCTTAATTTCCAATTGGAAGCTGGGAGCTATTACTCCCAGAGATCCATTCAAGTCTGTAGAAGCAACACTCCATTTTTACCACACGTCCACGATCAGACGCTCTGCCCAGCACCGACTACAAACACACCAGGGGACCCCTTGGTCTACATATTAAAACACAGCGAAGTAGGAGATGTTAATGAGGTTGATACTGATCTGTATTACTTAACGGTGTTTGTATGTATTGCCTTACCCTGCCTTGCACTATATTTCTTTTCATATTCCATGTCAATGACTTGGAACTCAATAAAAGTCTTAAAATTATTATTTATTTTTTTTAAAAGAAGGGGCAGCCATGGATACATCTTGCAGATAGTGCTAGATAGAATAATATACCTGACAAATCCATGTGCTCCTTGCCAAACATTTCCCATAAATATAGCCATTTCCCTCTTCAAAGTAAATTGTTGTTGTTTTTATACCTTGGTGAACCCAGTCTAGAGCATATCTTTCAGCGCAATACACACAAAAATTTGCATAAAAATCTTTAACACATCTTTATAAGCATATTTCACAGTTATTTAAAGGTGTTGGTTACATGGTGACATGCAAGGAACCATGGCTAAATCAGTATGAGCCAGGGGATACAAACTTACTGATACAAATTGTAAAGCAAAGTACAAATCAATAGCACTTTCGCGTCGGTTGAGATATGTGACACCAATGGTTAACGAGACATAATGCAGGTCAGTGACCCGTGATGCCTATGTATTACATCACTATAGAATGTAATTTCTAGCAGATAGGTCCTGCACTTATCACCAGCCTGGTGTCTTCCCAATTATTTGAGTTGCAGTGAAAATTACAATTTCAACCAGGCATTAATAGATCATTTGTGGATTTATTTATTGGAGCAACATGGTTAAAGCATTTATTACACAATAAGATTGCAGTATATAGGTCTGTTTTGTTTTCTTTTCTCAAAGAAAAAATATGGTGTAAACGATAATACAATATACAATACAACCAATAATAAGGCATGAGCGCCATTCATGATCCTACAGAATATTGTTTTTTAGAAGATAAGCAAATATGTATAAATGCATTCTATGACATTTCAAGGTAGATCTGTCGTGATTGCTCTCCGAGAAGAAGAAGGCAATATCTTACTGATGTTGTGTCGATGGATCGGGCCACAATTTCCCTGGGAATGAGGTTTGACTGAGAGCGGTCTAATTGAGGTGTCTGGAGCAGTAACTGGCAATTAAACCATGGACCACGATTATAGGTGATTTTCAAAAACTTTCATAAGGACATTCGCCATGCAAGGCATGGCAAGTATGGTTATCTTACAGAAAAATACACGTATACAAGAATACAAGTGTACCATGACACAGAAACCAAAGCCACATTGGAACTGTATCTTTATTCTCAAATTGAAAAATTCTCTCTTCAGAACTATGTAATTCATTCTACTTAGAGAACAATGAAATGGAATCCGATATCTGGCATGGTCTGTGGTGTGTTAAACTAGAAATAAGTTTAAGATGAGAAAGAGACAAAAATGAAAATATTGGAACAAACAACCCTGCAGATTACTCTGAAACTACTCCATACAATCCACACTTTTAAAGGGACACTGAAAACACCTAAAGCATTTTAACTTGCTGAAATGGTTCATGTGTACTCAGTGTGTACTCTTTTTTTATTTTTCATTTTTCAAGAAAGTTTAGGCCAGGTTAGAAGAGTAGGGCTTGCAAAGGCTGCAGACATATTTATGGATTCAACTGTATTTAGCTACACTCCCAATGAAAAAATGCATAATATAATGCATACATGTGTTCATTGTGGTATATCTGCTTAATAATGTTTATATATAAATTTGTATTTGGGTAATGTGGTGTCCTCTTAAGAAAGCAATGGAAAATGTGCTTTACATTTTGAAATGTGTTTTGTGCACTTGGTAGATGGTCATGTACCTGGACAGATGTTATATTAAATAGGGATTATTTCCCAATAGAAACAAATAAGGATATTGGAAGCCTGGGAGTTTACAAACAGGCTCTAGTGGAGTTACAATGATGACCAAGTATATGGGGCAGAAGTAATAATGAATGTTAAAAGGAAAAACATCTCATAAAATATCTCCAAGCATGCTCTACCTCAGTGAGAATCTTTACGGTTTGAAGCAGGTCAAAATTGTCCGGTGAAAGCTCTATGTTTTTACAGTAAGAACTATAAGGATGTGGAATTCTCTGCCTGAAGTGGTGGTTTTATCAGAGTCCATACAGATGTTTAAACAGAAATTGGAAAAATATGTGCAAAAAACATAACATACAGGGATATAATTTTTAATAAGTGGGTAATAGCTTCTTGATCCATGGAGAAATCTGACTGCCATTCTGGGGTCAATAATGATTGTTTTACTAGTTTGTTGCAAATTTGGAATCACTTCAAACTGGGTTTTTTGCCTGCTTTTGGATCAACAGCAAAAACGTATGTGAGAAAGCCTGAACATGATGGATACATGTCTCTTTTAAGCTATGTAACTATGCAACTATATAGAAAATATCTCTATTCTATTATGATGTGCAGTAGTCAAGTCTGTCAGAATACACTAATTAACAAACCATCGCAATCCCGTCCGGGATAGATGGTCCAAGTGTCAGTCACTCAAACCAAGATAGGACTGACTAAAGCAAGTCTCTTTAGAATTCCTGAAAGTGAGTGTTTTGCTTTTTTTTTTTTTGCATGTTACAGCACTGGTGGGATTTTTGGGGGGGAGTAGGGACATGGGAGGAAAGGTGAATCATTATTCTGTCGTGTCTAGATTATTTCTGTGCCTTGGAGCTGTTTATACGGATGTTTGTTACTTATGGTTTCTACATTTTACACAGCGTAGGCGTGCTGTTACGTAATGATTGTTCACCCCGGTGACACTCAAATTGCTGTTTTGGTTAGCGTTGCTGTCACAAGTTGCCTTTTATATTCTAAAAACCAGGAGGTTGAACATAATAATTTACACACATACAAAAAAAAGAAATCAAGAAAAAAATATTAAATCATACTTTGCTTTTTTGCACGTTACATTATCTGCAATCTGCCAAAAAGCTTAACTTTTCTAAAGCATCCATTGCACCTTTCTCTAATACAGTTTAGTTACAGCACCTGAGGCTTAAAACAGCTTAAACAGGATAATCATAAAGTATCGGTCTGATAGAATTACAACACCTCATATGTCAATCTTTGAAAACTCCTTCTTGCTTCGTTGATTCACATTATGAACTACAAATGATTAAACTGCAGAACATTTTAGATAGACAGCCACACGCCTACAGCTGCATTCTAAAGGACATTCTATGTCCCTAGTGTTATCACTGGTAATTATAGGAAAGCACGCTGATATAAATTCAGGCCTTTATGTGAGCCCAATTGAAATTCTGATTTGTGTGCGGGGAGCTCTTTCGAGTGAGACTTTTCATTCACTTGTGTGTTTTCACTCTGCCACTGAATCGACTCTTGTGTCAAATCTCAGAAGGGCAACTTTTTTTAATTGTGGCTCTGCATTAGAGGATGGATTTCATTAAAATGGAACAAAATAAAGAACCATCGAGAGATTTATAGCTTTCAGGTCAATTAAAGGTCATCACGAGCTGCTGTATAAATTACGAGAGCTTGCAGATGGCTAAATTTTAATTTGGTATTTTTTTAAATTTATTTTTTTGTAAGCAAAGTGGTTTATGAAAATGGTTAGAGCTTTATGTATTCTGTTAATTATACTCACTCGAGATTTAATGCAGTACAATCTAATACAGCAGAGTTATACCGATATCGGGGCTATTTATTTTATTGGTGTTGTTCATGAATGATAAAAATCTATATTATCGGCTGTTGATAAAGTAACTGTCTCTAATTCTCGATTACAGAGAAACATTAATGTAATATATAAGGCTTTTAGAATAACAATGGATACATTCACGGTTATGCAATCAGATACTGAAAATGAAAGAAACAGAACATTTAGTGTTCTAAGGACAAGTCACTGGAATTCCACAACCATTTGATCTTCTCTGCTGCTGGTGTGACCAGAGGATTTGAAACAAACTATAACAACCACGCGAAGAAGAAGACGAACAGACATAAAGAATAGGTTGAGAATAAAAGATGGAGGTAGAACACAAGATAAATAGGGGACCGGGGATCTGAATCAAGTCAAAACTGAGTGGGTCATGTACATGGAAAAGCCGATCTAGAATAAAGCCAAGCAAACCAGGTCTTTTGTATAAAATAATCAGACAAAAGAAAATGTGACTATAGAATAGAAAGTATCTCTGGGGCAGAACTGAGTTTACAGAGAAACAATATGGAGCCTAACCAATACATGGCTTACATAGTACTCAGGTTGCTCGATGTTATTGGGTGTTCGGTAGGTAGCAATGATGGTAGGGAAAGCATAATATAATGGGCCAAATCCTAGTAGAAAGTGGAAAACCCATGCTTTGCAGACAGGTTACTGTATCTTATTTAATGTATTATTATCTCTGCTCCTGAAGTATTTACTCAGTCTGGCTAGTTTGACAATCTACAGGAATGCTGATCAAAAATTTTAATAAATTGCCAATGTACAGTATCTTTCCTTCTCTTCTTATGCCAAATATTTAAAAAAAAAAATTGTTATCCAATTGTCAAACTGTGAGTCTGTGAACCCCAATGCTATGTGACTGCTGTGCCTCTAGTGAGTTTATCATTATTATTATTATTATATTTATAGAGCGCTGTCAAATTCCGCAGCGCTTTACAATGGGTGGATGAACAGATGTAGTTGTAACCAGACAAGTTGGACACACAGGAACAGTGGGGTTGAGGGCTCTGCTCAATGAGCTTACATGCTAGAGGGAGTGGGGTAAAATGACACAAAAAGGTAAGGATAGTATTAGACTAATGACAGTTGCAGAAGAGGA